TTCCAACACTATGTCAAGCTCTTTACACAGGAACACTTCCTTATTAAGCAGCTCATTCGTATGGTTATGCTCCAGTTGATCTTGGATCTCTTTAATCTCCTTCATTAGCATTTCCTTCTTTCTCCGGACATCACCGAAGATTTCTCTGTTCCACTTCTGAAGTTTTGCTTGGAGTAGTCTAAGCGCCACAGTTGTATTCAGCTCCCTATCCCACGATGTCAACAGCAGTTCTTTAAAGCTCTCATGCTTCAGCCACGCAGCTTCAAACCTGAACGGCCTCCTCAACGGGTTACCTCTCTGTTCGGGTGCCAACTGAACATACAGTGGCGCATGGTCTGATGCCAAGAACGGTAGATGAGTTACCGTTGCATCCTGCCACTTCAAACGCGCGTGTGCACAACACAACACCCTATCCAGTCTCTTTGCTACAAAGTTGTTTTCCTCCCTCCCTCTCTTCCACGTAAATGTACTTCCCTTGAAACCCATATCAATCAACGACATATCGTTAATCCACTCCCCAAAAGCTAGTGAATCCGGCGACAGCCTCCCATTGCCATCAGTTCTTTCATCTAAGCGTACAATGGTGTTGAAGTCTCCCCAATGATCAGTGGTTCGTCAACACTCTGAATCAGCTGGCCTAACTGCCCCCACAGTCCACTTCGGCGACTCACCGTAGGTGCCGCATATACAACTATTAAGTGTATAATATCCCCTGCATTAATCACCTTCGCATAGATGAACTGCTCCGCCTCTTGAACCACTGTAACCTCACCCACATCTGATCGCCAAAGTAGCCACAACCCCCCACTTTGACCCACAGAGTCAACTCGCACGGACCTCTCGAAGCCCAACCCTTCACAGATCCTCTTTGCCCTATCACCCCCCCGCATGAGTCTCAAACAGGGCTAAGATATTTGTCTTGAATTTCTTCAAATTGTATCTTATAGCTCTCCTAAAATTGGGTTTATTCGCCCCCCGGTAATTCTATAATAGCATATTCATCAGAAAAAGATGCTCTTTCCTCCACTGAATCATCGGGGACTCCCGTTATGCGACGATCAAACTCATCTCCTCTCCCGAATGGTCAGTAGGCAACCCCAACTCCTGTTGCATACTACCATCCATCGGAATCGATTGAAACTCCTCCGTCGCATTGACTTGTTCTGCTAGGATATTCTCCTTCTGCACCTCCAGCCCATCAACAAAAACTCCTCCAGCCCTTCCAGATACATCCCTCTCCCCTCGAAGTCTTTTGCCAGATTCCGAGAGCTCTACCTCTCCCCTAATAGGGCCATAAACCAACCCCCTCATGGGCTTATTCATGTTCTTCTGTAACTTTCCTTTAAACGGGTCAGCTGGCTTCTTACCGGCCCGTTTATCATTTACACCTCCTCTAGGCCCATTCTTCAACTTAATCTCCCTCCCTTCGCGTGGAATATCTCTTCCTTGCTCCACACTTATCCCGTCTCCCGAATTAACTCCAAAGATAACATTTTCCTTATTTGCCTCTCCCGATATCGCGACTTGCCTTGATTCAGTTATTCCAGTATCAACATCCAGATTTGCAAATCTGTTCGTCGTAACAATATTTCCATGGGCCTGATTCTCCGGGATCGCACGGAGATTTCTTCCTAGAACATTTCTGATCGGTTCCGCCGCCACTGCTACCGGAGATGTAGACCTCGTTTGTACTATCATCGGGCTCCTCCTCCTCTGTTGTCTCACCGGTGTAAACCCATCCTCCGATGGTGTAGGGCTCCTCCCCTCCTCTTTTTCCTTACTATTCGCTGCTACCACTGTTTTCTACATCGTCGTCTTCGGACACATATGAACTAAATGCCCATACATTCCACAACTTGAGCAAATGTTGGCCAATCCTTCATAAGCCACGAAGTACCTATCACCATTTATGCTAACCGAGCCCTTCAAAGGTCTTGCTAAGTCCACTTCTACAAAAACTCTAGCAAACCTTCCTCTCTCGAAGTTCAGCATTGTAAGATCCACCCTTATTGGTTTTCTTAGTCCGCGAGCAATACCCATAATTATCGCTTTATAGTATAAGTTTACTGGAATGCTCATGAGCCTCACCCAAACTGGCGTCGTGGTAATATCATCGCATAATGGGTCAAAGCCTAGCGACCATACTTGCACCATTAAGTAGCTTCCAAAGACTCTCCATGGTCCTCCGGTCAAGGCTGCAAAATATTCATCCTCCCGCTCAAAACGAACGATGAAAAAGCCCCTTGGCAAATCTGTCACTTGCATTAGGCCCTTAGGTTGCCATAGCTCTCTCAATTTCCGATTTAAAACGGGAATAGCAATGTTCATGCCCAACACTTTCATTATCATACATTGTTTCCACATCTCATTCATGGCTTCAAGCACCTCCCTCCCAATAATAATTACCGGTTCACCATCCTCACTCTGAGGGAATTCTATCACTAATCTTTCCGCTACAAACGTATCATCCAATAGATCTTCAAGAATCGGCATACCCCCTGCGCTCGAGCCCGCTACCTTCTTCGCCCAGGTGACAGAATCATCTGGCGGATCTTCCGGCGGTCTTCCCTTCTCCCCCACCTCCATCATCACTGCATCTTGTTCAGCCGATCTCAAAACCCTAGAATCTCCTTCAGTTGCCATAGATGCTCGAGTATCTACTAGTGTTCAGCATCTTATACAGATCATTTGAACGAAAGAAAAATCATATACGGATCATTTTCTTTTTAGAAAAAAAAAAAAAGAAAGATCTGAGACTCACCATATCAATTACATAAAATTAATAATACTCAAAGATCATATAAAACTCAAAAGAAGATGGGAGGAAATAAACATGTTGAATAGTAATTGGCAGCTTAATCTACACAATAAAGAAGATGTCAAACAAATCTGCATAATAAAGTTAAGAGAATATTTTTCCAATCTATTCACTAAGATATCATTCCTTTGTTTACCGAAACAAAAGATATCGCTCGTTTATTCTTCAATCTATTGACTAAATAGTACTATATTAAGAATTTATCCCTAACGCTCAATGTGTAATCCCGTTCAAGTATCAAACTTTAGTATATTTCATTGATCCAAATATTTGGCTCGAATCATTAGTTGACAAATCGATTATAATGCAAATGTGATTAACATGTGGAAATTTTTTTAATTTGTAGCGTGGTAGTTACTTGGAAGTTGGAACCCGATCAAGGACTACCATAAACATATTTTAATTGTTTTAAAAGCATTTTATAACTTATTTTAAAATCTTGGGAGAATTTTGTAGAGTATTTGTTAAAAAACGGTAAACTTTTTCTCCCTGGAAATTACATCAGAAAGTCAAAAACAGAAGACATGTATATTACACTATATACAGATATATACATTCACAATTACACATGTGCATGATTCACAATTACACATGTACATGATACACATACACAAACACGCATAGAGAAATACATATATGTTATTTGACTTCTGTTCGGAAGTATAATAGGGACCATTGAGAAGAATATCTTACATGAGAATCTATCTCTTATCCAAAATGGACAACAGTGTCATTACAAGCTTTTAGGTAGTCATACTCTGCGAATATAAACTTACAAATGTCAATACTTGTTTGTGTAAATATATATACACGAATATTTGGGTAAATTAAATATACGTATATATATTTTGATCAAAACAAATATATATATATATAATCAATTGTGTATATTAATTTACAGAAATATTGGTATGATGCTTCTGAAATATACGCGGAAGGACCAAATACTGTATGTACCAATTTTTCAAGGCAGCTAGAATTTTTGGTCTCCAATTTGAAATATTATATGATGAGATATCGTTTTAGGTTTATTCCCCGGAACCGAATCTATCTTTCCAACAACGTGTAAACAACGTGTATCATCATCACGTGATACTTTGCGAGTAAGACATCCATTTATGGGATAAATTATTTAAAACATTATTTTTTTTATGTTTTGTTATTTAGAAATAGCTTAACTCAAACAATATTTAAAAAAAAAAATGTGAAAGGTTTCGTTTCCTTCTTACATAAATACATTTTGTATTATTTTTTAATTATTTAATATTCGACAATAAAACTAAAAATGGTATTCTCTGAATGCTCGTCATAATATTGAATATTAATATATATGTTAAGGGTAGATTATTTGTGTTGGCTAAAAGCTATAATGAGCAATATCACTTTTACGTTTTAGAAACGTTATTCGGCTATTTGTATATCTCTTATAATTATTAAATTTTCACATTTTACGCTGTATATATTTTGGATGCTATATATTTTATTCTCTATAGTGAAATTAAGCTTTTTTATCATTTTTCAGGAGTATCAACTATCAATGTAGTTTCTCAGTTTACGACCTGTATGGCTGCATGAATGAATTATAGTCGAAATTAGATTGAAACGATTTTTTACAACTTTTGTTTGAATTTGTCTTTTATTATGATATACAGTTCAGCTCAATGGCTTTAAAAACTAAACTTTGGCTATACCGTTACATTGTTTCGGTATCTATTTCAAGTTCTTATATATAGAAAGATTATAATCAACTGAACCAACTAAAAGCTTAAACAGTTAATAAGTATGCAAGCTTGGTTTCGGTTTAAGCTAAGTCATTTTAGTTTATCCGAATGATCCATGTTTTTGAATACGACGCTTTGTTCTGTCATAGGCTTTATGGGTTTATCTACCAAGGACGATCACAAAAAAATTTAGTTGTTAACAAAGCTTTCAAGATATTTTTTTTTCATTAGTTTTTTGTTTCTCAAGAATTAATGATTGATTTGTGCGCCTTGAAGATAAAGAAGAAGAAAACGAATAGACTTCATCAAGTGGAGAATATTTGTGGACCTCAGCTTCTCGTCTTTGATCATATGTTATTTTCTTATAAAATACTGTAATTAAAGATATAAAGTTATATATTTAACCAATATAATCGTATTGTTTTTGGGCATATAACTTTATTATATCTAAAGAATGGATCATATGAACATGCGTACAATTTAAAGAAGCTCAAATTCTTCTTCTGTTCTCATTTCCACTTTGGCCCTATGTGATCAAGAAAGGTCGGCAACTTATCCTCGGAATAACACGTGGCAACAGATCCTTGGTCCGACCTGAGATCCGGTGCCGGACTTATCCTCTCTAAGATATATCCTTTGGTTATTACAAGAGAAACATTGAATTGTTCAAAAAAAAAAAAAAAAACATTGAACATTGAGGTCTTTGAAGAATCTCACTGTTTGTGTCTCTATCCGGTAGAGATAAAAGAATCCATTTTTGTCTATAGGCTTACTACAAAAAAAAAGAAATATTGAGGAAAAACTAAAAAAAAATCATAATAAGTTAAAAAAAATAATAAGCACTAACCAATAAGAATGGCAAAGAAGAAAGATAGCGAAGCTTCTGAATTTCTCTAACAAGGAAAACAAAATTGAAATAATTAATAAAGAAAAAGAAGCAATAGTCTTTTCAGCATCAAGAAGAGAGAACATACCCATAATAAGCTTCTCTTTTTGACGGATGATGATCATGATTATGATGGCTCCACTATCTCCATAACCTAATCCCTTGTAGCATTATGTATATATAGCCCCATTGAGATCTTCTTGTAATTACACAAACCTTACAGAACTGTCCTCTTCTTCATTTTACTTCCCTTACATAAGAAGAATCACAAAGAGAATCTATAAGTGATCAGAGTGTAAGCTTTAACAGTTTACTAATGGAGGGTAAAGGACGAGTCGGATCATCACCTTCTTCTTCTTTCACCGCCGAGCTCTTCGGCTCCAAAGATCCTTCGCCGCCATCTTCTTCCTCCGGAATCTTTTCTTCCATTTTCCCCCATCCCTCCAAGGTTCTAGTTCTATCACCTTCCTTTTTTTTTTTTCAAATTTTGTTTCTACTGATTGATTCTTGAGGCTTATTTCGGTTTCTTGATTTGGTTGCTCAGGGCGTTACAAGAGATGGTCAAAGCTCCAAACATGGATCACAAGGTTAGTGTGAAAAAGAAGTTCCTTCTTCTTCTTTCCCCACTTAGTCTCAAAACACTCTGCTTTTCTTTAAATCAAGAAATTACTCTGTTTTTTCTAATAAAGATAAATTCTTACACAGCTCAACGCAGAGAATCTTCAACTACGCAAGAAAACAGAGTTGAGCCATGTCATCTAAGCTCTTCTCTTTATTACGGTGGTCAAGACGTATACTCTCAGTCCACCACCAACCAAACTTACCCTACAGTGAGTCCTTAATTTATGTATATTTTGCTAAAAACAGAGGACTCTGTCTGATAAGAAAAATACATTTTTCAGGCTAAAAAGAGAACCGGAGAAGACGATGCTAACGGACAGAACTCGCAAGATGTTGCGAGAGGAAACTGGTGGCAGGGTTCTCTTTACTACTGAAAAAAACATTTCCTTTAGTTTCTCTGTAAATCTCACCAGAAAGAAACCCATGAAGTAACCTAAGTACTAATATCTACCGAACCAAGACTTTGTATAAATAAGTTTATGAGTAAAAAAAAAAACAGTTTCTTAGGAGATTTTGAAGATTAAGAGACAATATCACAGAGATCTCCTAGTATAAGTGTCTTAAATAGATTTGTCTAGTACTTGTTCTAATCAATTGTAGCAATATATTTACTCTGCTTTTCTGTGTCTCATGTTCAACAAAAATATGAAACCTTCAGCGTTTTACCAAAACGCAAACGCACGCGACGAAATCAGACTTCTTTACAGAGGAATAAAGCCCTAAAAACATGTTAAATTTTAAACTCGAACTTGTGACAACTCTTCCTCTAGAGACAATCCTAGTACAACAATTAAATTACTAACACTGGACTAAAATTACTTTATCTCAAGCTGAGGAAGTTTTTATGGTACAATAGATCTTATCCGAAATGCAAAGAAACAATCTTTCATACGCATCAGCCATTTTAGACGCCGTGAAAAGCCTCAACGACCGTTCACGCGCCTCTTTGCCTTTCCTCTGCAACTCCTCTGTTCCGTCACTAACAACTCGTGAAATCGCTTCTGTGAGAGAGTCAACGTTCGGCGAGAAAGTGTATCCCAAATGTGGACCGACGACTACGGACCCCGTGATGCTCGCTAGCCTCGTGGCTAAGACCGGTTTGCCTGAAACCATGGCTTCCAAGAGTGTGTGATCGAGCCCTTGAGCTCGAAGCGTTGGGTTCACAAACACATCGATCGCATTGTAAAATCCCGCTAGCTTTTCTTGATCCAACGGTCCAAGAATGATCACTTTATCAGACCCAAGGTCTCTATATCTGTTCCCCCATGGACCATCTCCAGCTACTAAAACGATGACGTTTTCGCGCGCCGTCTTGTTCTCTTCGAACACTCGTTTCAAAGCTGAGAACATTAAAGGATGACCTTTATCCTTCACTAGCCTCCCTGCGATTCCAAGAACCAGAAGGCTGTTTTTGTTCTTGCCCCTTTTAACGCCGAATTCCTCTCTGAAGCTTTCGCGTTTAGAAACGTCCGGTTTGAAAACGCTCGCATCCACACCATTTAGGATGATGTGGACGCGTTCCTCGGGAATCATGTAGATCCTCTTGAGTACGTCCCCGCAGTGGTCGCTAGTTGCCACGTGGTGAGCGTAGCGTTGGAAGAATTTGACTTCCTCGACGACTCGTTTGGCTCGCTCCGTCAGAGCTGGAGAAGAAGGCGTTGGCTGTTCTTCTTCGGCTCCGGAAACGGCAGCGGCGGTGACCTCTGCTTGACGTAGGAGCTCCTGGATGATGTCGGAGTGAAAAGTCTCGTAAGCGATTCCATGCCACGACGCGACCACGTTTCGGAGGTTCTTGGCTCTTGTGTGGAGAAGCCCGACGCTCTCTGTGTGAACAACGTCAAATGGTCTTCCACTCGCGTTCTGCGTCTACGATTTCCGGGGAAAAGGTGGCTTTAGTTAAACTTCTAATCTTTGACTTTAGTCCAGACAGTCTGACTATTGACTATTGACTATTGACTAATTATATTGCATAAATAAAGTCGTTGCCTATTGGTCACCGGTTGACTAAAATATTAGTATACCTACTAAGTATAGTTACTACAATAGTTAGCTATATAATTATATGTATAATGCTTCTTATAAAAAAATTGATTTAATTAAATTTAACAAAATTTCAAACTATGATAAATTCTCAAGAATCAACCAATTTTTTATATAATGAAAAAGTAGTATATTTTGATACGGACAGTTGACTATATTCACTAGCTAAATAATTTACAGACTAACCAAAGGAACTAGAATTTTAAATTTTGTAATACAGTTAAATACTTAGAAGTGAAATAAATGCGGCACGTAAACGCAAACTGAGGAAAACGCAAAATAGCGGCGTCCAAGCCAGCGACGCGGTACAATCGCAGCAACATTAACAAATTATCTGTTTACCTGAAGCTCTTGCGAGACGGAAGCTTGATCGAGATACCCACCAGCGGTTGGCTCAGAGAGATGGAACCGGAGTTTTTTCAGTCCATATTGAGGGAACGACGGAGAAGCGGCGGTGAAAACGTGAACTTCGTGACCGCGATTGGCTAGAGCGAGGTGCAGCGTAAGCGCGTGTCGCTCGAGCCCACCAGCCTGCGATTTCTGCGGCCATTTCTTAACCACCACAGCGATCTTGAGAATTTTCTCCGGTTTAGACGGGAAGAAATCTAAGTGGTTCCAAGCGGAAGAGAATCGAAGCAGGTCGATGGTTTCGTTGTTGTTGTGGTGATCGAATGTGCGGGCGTCGGGACAGTGGTCGTAAGGACAAGAACAGAGTGTGGTGTTGTGTCTGAAGAGAAAAGAGACGAAGGAGAGGAGAGAGAGGAGGAGAGTAAAGTGACAGAGATATCTGAAACTGAAGGAGAAGCTCATCAATGTGTTTTCCCTGGCCATACTGATAGATCGAGTCTGGAAACTCAAAGCTTAAGACAGAGAAGAAGTGATTAGTTGTCAGTGAGTTGAATCTGGAGAAAAAGTTTGACCTAGAAACTTGATTTACATTAAATTAGATTAGATTAGATTAAAGTCGTGTTCTTTAAGTAATATGCACATGCTCTGTCTAAAATTTCACTGAAACATCGTAATAAAGCCACGCGATTAAGGCCCACGCGCATTCGTAATGGGGCGGCGGAAAATTTGAGAAGTTGGATGATTGCAGCAGTGTTGAGATATTCGATAGTGGCGGTGAAATTGATTACCATCGTTCGGTGGCGCCGATAATTGATTGCAGAGAGATTTGGAGTGCGTGCCGTCTGAAGCGAGGAAAAACGCTGACTCGTTGACAATGTGAGGTTTTGTGAAACGACGACGCTCTTTATTGGAAAGGAAAGACAACAAAAATTTATACGCCGTTGCCGGGGATCGAACCCGGGTCACCCGCGTGACAGGCGGGAATACTTACCACTATACTACAACGACATTTTTGTTTGTGATTTCCATAACATGCTATATATTTATATTTAACTTAACATTTTGTGATTTCCATAACGTGCAACATATGTTAATAAACTAGACTAAAGTATAACTTCACATTCCTTTCATGTGTTACCCTATGGCAATGCCTCAATTTTTTTTTTTTTTTTTTTTTTGTATTTCGTCCATAAAAAATATGTCAGCGTTACAAGTTTGATTATCCCATACTCAAAAGACCTATATATAATATGGTTAATGGTTGTTGGATAAGTGGCTTTACCATAAAGGGATATTAGACCTACTTTCTTGTAATAAAAACAATTAACGGTGACTAAAACATTGCACAATAAAATAAAATAAAATCAATATTTGTTCTTCTCATATAGAATTTGAATTCTAAAAGCAATTAGCTAGTGGTAGCCTAAGCCTGATACGAGCTATTTATAGTATTTAACCTATTTATACGGTTGTAACAAGAAAAAGTGTGCACACTTACGTTTGGTCAGATTTTGAAAGGTTAACCTAACCTTCCCTCTAACATTTGTTACCTAAGAAAACGCATAGAAAGGAAACTTATATGTTTGTCTCCGAATCAATCATATTACGCTGCATTTGTTTACTTAACCCACATTAATCCCATATAAATCACCAAAACCAAAAATTATATGTAAGTCCGTATAGCTCGTAAGAAATATATGTTATAAGTTTCACTTTCTATTTAGATATTTTCAGAGCTAAATTTACACTGTTTTATAAATAGTTTTTAGAATCTGGTCTTAGATACAAAATCGTATATTGGTTTAATCTTTGCAATCATCAGAAAACGAAAAAAAAGCATTTATAATGGTTGGTAATGGAATCTTAGTTAATTTGGTTTGGATCTGGTAAGGGTTAGCAGCTATTCATTAATTAGAAGTTCGAAGAAGAACCATAGTTTATGTTTTAGCTACCAGAATTTGAGGCATATATACACCACATATAACTTACATTAGAAGTTATAGTGCGCAATTAGATTTCGAAGCTAATATAATATTATTGGAAAACAATGATCTTAATATATTTTCAATGTATCTGATCATGATAAGTTTTTGAATGTGTCTTCTCAGTTGGTTTTTACACTCCTATATTGCTCTAGTTTTCCTTAATTATACTTAAATGGATATTGATTAATGAACAAAAATGATAATGATTTTTGAGATAGCCGGTTTTAAACAGTATCACTTAGTTTGTAAGTTGTACATATAGGAAAATTATATATTAGTTTATAGCATCCAAATTTCATAAATAAGTGTATTAAAACATAACAAAAAGTACAGTAGAAAACAATTTTAAACGTACGTAAGATTTGATAACTGTTCTGTTTTTATGAAATACATGTTTTTTTAATCTATTGTAGCATCATACTCGCTATACATAAACAACTTTAGTTTCTTATATGAACATTGTCAGCTTTGGTATCTATTGAAATTTATAGGAGGAAATGACATAAAAAAATATCTCTTCAGAAAGACACATTTTTAAAAATTTCGAAAAAAAAACACACACACATTTTTAAGTATAATTGTGTATTAATATAATATAGACAACAAAAAGCCTAGGTATAAGTGTGTGTTACTAAATATAGATAACAAAAAAAAAACAATACATAGAATCAATATCAAGAAACAACAAGCTTTAGTAGCAAATATGAGAGGGTAGAACGCAATGGTAAATTAAAACAGTAGAAACCCGAAAATAACGTGACTTTATAAATAACATTGGACAAATTTTAAACTTACAAAACGTTAAAATACAGCCCATGATGACTTCCCAAAATTGTCACATAATTAGTTATATAAACTATAAATGGTAGAAAAATCAACTTAGGCTGAATACATTGTTTTAAGAGAAGTTTTTACAAACATTCACCTAAAAAAGGTTCGTCATAAATAATAAATGCAGTCATATTTTCAAAGAAGGAAATAATGGAAAAATACAGATGTATATATTTTCTTTTTATATGGCATTCCTTAATCCTTAATCCTTAATCTCTCGTGAGTCGCAAACTCGCAACAATTGGCAGGTGAAATTGTCGTAACGCCTTCAGCTAAAGCTGTCCATCTGTACGGTCTTCTTCTTCCTTCTTTATATATCTTAACACAAACTGCTCTCTCTCTCTCTCTCTCTCTCTCTCTTCTCTCTACGCTTGCTTTCCTCTGTTTTTCTCTGTTCTAGATTCTCTCTCTCTCTCTCTCTGTACTTGCTTTCCTCTGTTTTTCTCTGTTCTAGATTCTCTTTCTCTGGTTAAGTTTTCTTGTTCTGTCCGTATCTATCCAAAGATTTCACTCTGTTTTTTTTCAAGACAAGAATCATCAAATGGAATCTACTGAACTACAAGAAATAGATTTCTTTAGCTCCTTTTCCGAGCACACAATACCAACTTTCTTCACTCCAACCACAAGCTCGCTCCGATCCGACTCCTTATCCGATGAACCGGATTCACCAAAGCCACAAAACGATGACGGAGACGAGTATGTCGCCGAGTTGACTCGTCAGATGACTAACTATATGCTTCAAGACGATGAAAAGCATCAAAAGGTACCAACTTTTTAAAACTCATCAGATTCGATTCTCTCTTCTTCTTTTTTTTTTTTTTTTTGTCAAATCTCAAGTTCTTACTCAAATTTTTTTTCTTTTTTTTTTTTTTGGTTCAGTCTTGCGGTGGTGGCTCTGGCTCGCCGCAATCGACTCTTTGGTCACCATTCGCTTCTGGTTACAGCAGCCCAATCGGCCCTTCCCGTGAACCATCTCCGCCGCTAACTCCGGCGACGGCTGTGGAGAAAACCATGACAAAGATCGATACGAAGCCTGTTATGATCCCTTTTCAATCAAAACAAGCTCTCATCGATGATCAGATCAGATCTATTCAAGCTAACGTGAGCTCAATGTTTTTTATCATTTATTTATTTACTCATCCCGATCTTTTTAAAAAATTTCTCCGTCGGTTATAAAACGGACAGTCCAGATTAAATCTTGACGTAAACAGAGTTTCGTTATCACCGTGGGATGCATTTATAGTTTTTTTTTTTAATATAAAGTTTGATGTTGATTTCTATTTATAGTTCCATAAGATCAAAAAGGAGAAAGAGAAGCTACGTAACGATGACGTTTCGGGACAGAAAGCAATGAACTACCACCACCACCAGAGACCAAGGTCGGGCGTGAAGGCGGTGTTCGTTGACGGGTCAGGTTCGAAAACCGGGTCGGGTGGAACTGGAGTGTTCTTGCCACGTGGTCATGGTACTGTTGTGGAGTCACGCAAGAAATCAGGTTAGGGCCAATCAGTAGTAGTAATTTTCATATTCATTTATTACTCTCTCTTCTTTCTTCCGTTATATAAAACGTCATTTTTGGGGTTTTAAATTTTATTTTTTGTGGTTTTCATAAAAGTTACGTATTATAAAGGACAAAAGAATAAAGATCGGATGACGTCGATCTAAACCTATTATCAATACATACTTTGAGATTCCACTTTGGTTTTATTTTGGTGGGGGTTGACAAAGTGGGAATCTTGTATTTGTTAACTATTAAGATATGTCCTAAGTAATTCATCCTGATACAAATAAACCACTGAAAATGTTTGATTTAGAGATAATCTATTAGATTAAGTTGTTCGACTTGTACATAAGTGTTATGTTTAAATTTCGAATGTGTAGTGAGATGGATAAGAGTTCATATACGAATATAGTTTCAGAATCGACTTTTGATGCTGCACAAATTCCACTCTTATCATTTACTTGAAACGGTATTTGATTTTCGATGACTTTAGAAGATTTAAAAAGTTGTGGCTTGAATAGTTTTAATTGGAGTGGTTATTATAGTTGAGTTAAGGTTAGGTTGGGTTAGTTTAGCCGATTGAGTATCAATCATCTCAGCTCAAAACTCAATTATTTAGGACAAATATTATAAATAATAAGAATCTTTCTCTTACATTATTACATTGTTTGACTGAGTAGATTCCAAAGATTCCTTCTCACCAATTAATCTCTATTTCTTTTTAAGATTTTGTGTGGCTGTAGGTTTGACAGATATGCCCTCCTTAATAAGAATCTTGCCTCAACTTGTTGGTCCCCATTTGTTACTCCATTTCCCTTTCAACAAAAATAAAACCATATAGGTTCAAAAATCGTTATCATTAATTTTTTCTTAAAGACCCCACTTGCTTCATTCAATAAGTGGATTATAATCTAAGAAAACCTTAGAGATTTATTCATCTTGTGATTCTTTCTTTTGTCACCGTTCGATCATTGACAATACCCAAAGCTATCATCGAACCACATAGTGAAAACTTTCTTTCTTTCTAAATATAGTATTATATTCGAATTAGGTATTATATAGACAGTTAAGAATCGCATACCCACACAATTAACACTAGCCAGGATTTTTCTCATGTTCATTAAACCCAAAGAATTTAGACATAACATCTCAACATTAAGATTTTTCTGAGTGCTTTTCATTGTCAACTCTTAACCGTTACCCAATCTAGGAGTCGGTGGGTTTGTCAACAGTTATCATCTACCTTTCTTTTATATAAAATACATTCTTTTTTTGGCTTCATACGATTTGATTTGATGGGGATTCATATTGGTGGGAGGTGGTGACAACATACTATTTATTGTACTGCTGGTATTAAGATTTGTTGTCGTTCTATGAATCTGATGTCTCAACAAAACAGTTTTCTGAAGTTATTACTCCGGTTCAGTTTGGTTTAGATGTAGATTTGGTTTGGTTTTGACTTTTTGTGTCTTGGTTGCAGGATGTTCAACAGTAATAATACCAGCAAGAGTAGTTGAAGCCTTGAAAGTTCACTTTGACAAATTGGGTGTTCCTTCTACATTCTCTTCTGATATCCCTCCTTTTCATGGTACCAGCCCCACCTACCTGTTTTCTTATTCACTTTCTTGTTTTTGTTTTGAACATTATTCAATTTCAAGTTCTTTTATTCTTTTATGTAAAGAATTTAAGATTTACAAGAATTACTTATATCTAAGATGTTAAAAAAAAAAACACAATACATATATAAATATTATAACAGTACAAAACCTCTCAAAATGTTGGCTGAAAATGGAATTTCATTGTTACGAATGTCAAAACCACTTTGAGTGTATCTTTTGATATGATTCTTTGATGATTTTATTTTAACCGGCCAGTTAAAGGTTTTCATTGATAATTCTTGAAATTCTTCACCATATAGATGCTTTGTTGGTGTCTATGAAGAACAAAAACAACAAAAGTAACAACACTGGTTCATCAACTCGGGCACAAAGTGGACCACCGAACATTGCGGAGACGTCCGCAGAGAGCCACCAAGAGCCACCGGCAGATTTGCCACAGGAATGGACGTACTGATCAAACATTGGCACATGCGCGCTCTTCTTGGAAGTTATAGGTTTTCAAAAGGTAGGGTCTTTTCGGATTGAATATTTTTATAGTGGGGTTAAGATATAAAAGAAAAATAAAAAACTTTCACAAACCATTAATTTTTTTTTATAGGAAACATATAGATTTTAATAGGTGGTGAATCTGTTCTTTTATTATTGGTGTTCCATAAGCTCGTTCAAGTAAAAAAACAATAATCCTTGTGATAAAAGAACAATAAAACGTGCATATATATGTTCATATATGTTGCATGTCTATTGTAATAAAAGGGATGGGTTGTTTTTTTGTAAGATTTCTTGTAATAAAAGCATTATGCATCTCGACAGTGTAATAAAAAGAAAGAATTGATTATTACGACTTTATTGAAAAAAAAAAGAATTGATTATTACGTCTACGCTCTACGGTCTATCTACTGCGTATGCTAACTCTCTTATTTACAAATTACGCTTTATAGAGTTATATATAATTATGGTTTTTGGAAAGTATTAGTTTAGTAATCTCTCAGTTTTCATCCATAGAACTCGCTTAGATGTAATGCAAATGTGAAACGATTTGACATGCTCGTGGCCTCGTGGGTGGTCTTAAATCCGCCGACTTATCGCGCTGTGCAAAATGTTATTTGACTTATTCTTCGCAGTTTCGCTTTATAAGGTTCATGTGCACTCACGTTTTGTCATTATTCTTATTAATTGTGTGATCCAGTGACGGTGTACCCGTACCGTGTACATAGTAAATTGCTCCACTCTTCTCATGTGACATCTCTATCTCTTTTACTATTGTTTTCTTTGTTCGTTTCCCTTTTTTTCGGAACTTGTTCGTTTCCTTATACCGACAAGTTGTATATGGATTTTTAGGTTAATACATATCTTTGTGCTGCAGCGAAACGTATCATCAAAATAAAACTAAAATGATATTGCACTAAGTTAATAGAACGGACGATGATTGAAATACGAATAAAATGTTGTTTTTGATTAACCCATACCAAAATTAATTTGAGAGTTCGGGAAGAGATTTATTCTTTCCAATTTTTTAAAAGCTGTTCCGTTTTCCAAATTCACGTCTTGCTTTTTCATCGAAAATACTTCGAATAATATTTTTCATCACCAGGATCATCCATTCTAGACTTTTACTCGTTTCCCATACCCAAAATAAACATACCTAGGTTAAGCTTAAAAGGTTGTAATTAAGTTTCAGTTCCTTTGTTTTACAATCAGAGTAACAAAATGGTTTCAATAAAAATCAATTAACCATCTGCTGTGTTATCTATTTTTTCAGATCCGAGTTTTGTCCGACTAATATTCAATAGGTGAGCAAGCCACTTAGCTTTACCGGCGGTCATGTTAAATAACCTGGATCCAAACCTGAAATACGAAGTGGCCCACATACAATTCGCTTGTTCCACAGAGGAATCGAATAAGTTATATTCTTATAGGCCCAATAACATATTTTCTGACTTATATCAAGTATCAACACGAGTTTTCCCTAAATATCTGCTTAAAAATTATTTTGATAAAGAGGAAGCAATGTTTTTTATATCAATTCTCATTCAAAAAGTGGCTCAGTGGCATCAAGCTTGAGTTGAGTCCTTGCATATCGCAACTTATTCATCAGTTACGAATCCAGGAATTTCTAATAAAACATTATATAAATCCAGAAAGATAATTATCCGGATCAGCGTATATCGAACCTGACCGTACACAATATTAGAGAACAAAAACAAGAAAATAAAAGAACTTCCAAGATCTCATCATACTCAAACGACATCCATATATAGAGAGATGTTTTATTTTCATTATAATTCTTATTTCAACCGGAAACAAACATAAAACGATAAAGCCTACAAACACCAAAACTGGTGTAAAAAAAAAAAAAAAAAAAAGAATCAACAATGTGACTGAACCTCGGTGTGATTGTTAATACTAGTGTCCTTGAAAGCCCTACTTCCAAAAAACATAAACCCTAGTCCAAAACCAGCCATGGCAGCCAAGAAGACTCCTCCATTGAATGACATCACAGCCAACATAACCAAATAAGACAAACCAGCCCTCACGGTGAAAACCAGCGTCTGGACTAGCCCGACGCCAAAGCTAGCCGGACCGACTTTCATGCACCCCAACCGCGAAACCCACTCCGTGGCAGCGGATAGGACGAAAATGGTGGCGAGGCAAATCCAATACATGGTCAGATTGTTCCCTGGCCAGCCGTCGAATAGAACCTCCGTTTTTCTTCCCCAAAAGAAAGTCATGTGCATCATGCCACCGTGATGACGGCGATGTTGGAAGAACGCTGACGGTGAAGGTGCCGGAGCCGCCGGAGAAGATCCACTCATGCCGTTCATTTTTAAGAGATATGCTTAGCTTGAGATCTGAGGGATTTGATTGTTGTGTGCTCGTGTGTGGTATTTATAAGGGTCTTGTTTTTGGGTTGGAATTTGGTGTGTAGTACAATGTACATTCTTACAACAATAATGCGATAATTGTGTTTATATTCTGAGTAACAAAATTGTACTTTAAAGATATTTAGTTGAGACGAAGTCAGAAGAGAGAAAAGTTCCTTTGTTGAGATTATATTCTTCTTTCTATTTTTTTGAAGTCAAGAAATAAAATTGAAAGACGTAAAATCCAAAAATGGGGAAATCTATAAACTTTGATTGTCCTTGAGACTTAACCGTTAAAGCAGATGATTTGGTCACAAAATATAAAGTGTGTAGAATTTTTTTGAATAATCCAAACAGTGAAATTATAATTAATATAATACACCAGAATAAGTTATTTTTTTTTTGTTTTTTCCAATTGTTATATAAATGTGGTAATTTGACATATATAACTAATAATCTCGATGGTCTTACTCTTACAGTGATTATTGTATAGTGAAAGAACGTTAATTCTCTTTCATTATAAACTATGGAGCCTCTTTGATTTTGTATAAACATACTGAGAGCGTGAGAACAAAAGAAACAATTCAAACAAAGAGTACGGAATGCCAATTCTTTTAAAACAAGCCCATTAAAAATGGTAAAAAAAAAGTAAATAGCAGTAAATAGAAAATAAGATTTCAAAATAACCTGGATTTTTTTTTTTTTTGCGCTAGAAATATTAACATGGATTTCTTGTAATTATTATATTCACACTTTCTTGAAATCCATGTTATTCCAAATTTCCAATAGTATAGAAAGTAGCTTTCTGAAAATGCAAATAGTTAATGCTTTTAACTAATACTACTAACGCGGAAACGGTATTTGGACGTCATTGTTAGAATCAGTGAGTTTCGTCAACGTAATGTTTACAATGCATTAATGGGACGTGCATATACTTATACGGCTTTATGACATCTCTCGCATCAAACTGTCTTCTTTTTTTATACTATCTAAATCATAAAAGTTGATTTAGCAAATTCAGAGAATTCAGTGAATTGGTGACTTTTGTTCCTAATATAGTAATTCATTAAAATTATAAATTTAGGAATACATAAAACTCTTTTTTTATTTTCTAAATATTACCTTTTCGTACGACAGAAAGTTTGATAAATCAGAAAAAAAAAAACAAGTTGTACTGTACTACAATAATAATATCGTTTCTATAATCTCCACACAAATCCAAAAAAAAATTAAAAATTAAAAAAAAAGACATCTCAAATAAATGCCAATAAATACCGATAGATAATTAGATACCAAACAATTCCTATTTTAACATCTTCCTTCTCCTCCCAACTAACACGCAAGAGAGCCCAAGAACAAAGAAAGCATGGATCATGATCACATGCATGACATGCCTCCACCATCATCATCCATGATGAACAATGGATCCATGAACGGAGGAGGAGGACATCACCAGATGGTGATGATGCACATGACTTTCTTTTGGGGCAAGAACACGGAGGTTCTCTTCTCCGGTTGGCCGGGAACAAGCTCCGGGATGTATGCTCTCTGTATCATCTTCGTTTTCTTCCTCGCCGTCCTTACCGAATGGCTTGCTCACTCCTCTCTCCTCCGTGGCACCACCGGGGATTCGGCTAGTCCCGCCTCCGGACTCGTCCAAACCGCCGTGTACACCCTCCGTACCGGCCTCTCTTATCTAGTCATGCTCGCCGTCATGTCATTCAACGCCGGCGTGTTTATCTCCGCCCTCGCCGGTCATGCCATCGGTTTCATGTTGTTCGGAAGCCGAACTTTCCGGAATCCATCCGGTGACCGGAAAACTAACGATCTTCTTCCTGCCTCAGGTTGTGCTTGTTGATCATGATATATATATAATATATATATCGATTGATCCATACTTGTGTTTCCAATTAAAGATCTAGGGGTTGTAGTTTTCTGGGTTTTGTGGATTGTTCTTGAGGTTCATGTATGTGTTAGAGGAGGAGGAATATTTGATACTTTCTATTTGTTTTGCTTTATGATTTTTGTGTTCCTCTGGTTAATACATTAATGGTGAAAGCTGAATATATGAACTTACTAATTTTGGAGACCAATTTCGTTTTCTCTAAGAGTTCATATACAACTTTCTTATCTTACTATATACAAAAATATTGTTAACAATATTATTAATGCTTAGATTGAGCGTGAGAAAAATTGTTAAACAAAAAGTGTTAATATAGTTTCACCTAGAACTGAAAATCTAGTTTGATTTATTATTGTTTTTTTTTTCCCCATTCTTCGGTCCTACAATAATTAGATTCGTTCATTCACAAAATTGCCTTTCTTGTACACAAAGTTTGACAAGTCAGTAAACTAGTGTAGTAGTGTGCTTACTAGACTAATATCGACACTCTTATCTCCACACAAGGCCAAAACTAATTAAAACGAAGTCTCTGAAATAAATGCCAATAAATACAATAACCACACAACCATATACTATCATTTCTCCTCTACTCCCAAACAACACAGAAAACCCAAGAACAAAAGCATGGATCATAGTCACATGCATGCCATGCCTCCACCTTCATCATCATCATCGTCCATGATGAACAATGGATCCATGAACGGAGGAGGAGGAGGAGGAGGACATCACCACTGGTTGCACATGACTTTCTTTTGGGGGAAGAACACAGAGGTTCTCTTCCCCGGCTGGCCGGGAACAAGCTCCGGCATGTATGATCTTTGTCTCGTCTTTGTCTACTTCCTCGCCATCCTCACCGAATGGCTTTCTCACTCCTCTCTTCTCCGTGTCAACACCGGAGATTCGGCTAATCTCGCCGCCGGGCTAATCCAAACCGCCGTGTACACCATCCGCATCGGTCTCGCTTATCTAGTCATGCTCGCTGCAATGTCATTCAACGCCGGCGTATTTGTCGCTGTCATCGCCGGTCATGCCATCGGTTTCATGGTTTTTGGAAGCCGGACTTTCCGAAATTCCTCCGGTGACTGGAAAACTGACGATCTTCCTGCCTCAGATGGTGCTTATTGATCATGATATTATGTTTTATATATATACTTGTCTCTAATAAAAGATTCAGAGGTTGTAGTTTTCTTGATTTTTGTGTGGATTGTTCTCAAGGTTCACGTGAATATGAGTGTGTGGAGGTGGAAATATTTGATATTTTCTATTATGATTTTTTTTGTTTTCTTCTGGTTAATATGATTAAATGATGAATGCTGCATATATCAATCTACTACTACTTCTAAACTTCGTAATTAGATATATTCTGGGACTCTGTTTTGAATCTAACAGTGGAGGTTTTTGAGAAAATAAAAAGATAAGTTTCCCAAAAGTTTTGGTAAGATAATAATAAAAGGATCATTTAAATGTTGAACTTTTAAATTTTAGTCATTTTAAACATTATTTTTCGTGTGATTCATTTAAATCACAAACTTTTCGTTGACCGGTGTTAAAATCACAAATTTATGTTGACTCAGTCATTTTAGACATGATGTTAATATCATTAACAGATTGACTAAACGCCGTTTAGTCAACATCTGTTAGTGAATTCAATGTCATGCCTAATATGGCTAGTAAACGTAAGTTTGTGATTTAAAATATAATCGATATAAAAGTTTGTGATTTAAAGTGTCCATGCAAAACTTAATGCTTATAATAGCTAAAATTTAAAAGTTTGGCATTTAAATGACATTTTTTTACTAAACAGTAACTTCTATTTTTAATTGAAAAAAATATCTCAAACTTAAGATTATACAATGTGAAAGATTAAGAATCTTAAGAAGTTTGTAATTAGCAATAAAACTGATGAAAAAGCAGCTTAAACTTAACATATTGAGGTTCTTTGAGATAACACATGATTCACCTAACAATGTGATTTTCTAAACAAAACCCAAATAGTTCAAGATGGTAAGATTACTACAGTTTTCTCCCACAACTTGAAACTCAAATCTTTCTGTAAAATTGTGATCATGAGCGATAAATGATCACTGTTTTATGAATTTTATATTTACTAAACGTAAACCAAATTAATTTCTTATTATGATAGTGCTAACGAGGTAGAACAAGTTTTTTTTGTGTTTGGCATCTTTGGAAAAGAAAAAAGAAAAATTATGAAACGTACACACTATACAAAATAAAATTTTTTTTATAGTTCAGTTATATAAATAACTAAATATGAAAGTTATAGTAATAATAGAGACATTAGTCTCGATAGTCTTTCCTAATTTATGGATTGCACTCAATTAGTCATTTTTTATCACAATCTTTCGTAAGTTTTGCATTATTAGAAAGTCTTTAGATGTGGTTAAATTGGTTTTTTAAGTTAAACTCAATCTTTTCATTTTTTTGTTGTTTTGGTGTAATGTAAATTTAATTTACATTTAAATACATATTTTAATTAGTTTGGATTTACTTGGTTTTGTAATTATGTAAACTGATGAAATTGAAGTTCAGTTAGTAAAAAGAAAAGGAAAATGTCATTTAAATGCCAAACTTTTAAATTTTAGTCATTATAAGCATTAAGTTTTGCGTGAACAGTTTAAATCCCAAATTTTTATATCAATTATCTTTTAAATCATAAACTTATGTTGACTAGCCATATTAGGCATGACATTGAATTCACTAACAGACGTTGACCAAACGGTGTTTAATCAATCAGTTAGTGATGTTAACGTCGTGCCTAAAATGGCCGAGTCAACATAAGTTTATGATTTTAATATCAGTCAATGAAAAGTTTATGATTTAAATGAATCATACAAAAAATGATGTTTAGAATGGCTGAAATTTGAAAGTTCAACATTTAAATGACCTTTTTCCTATACCTTCCTATCGACATATTGAATGTTTCTATTCTAAATTCAAGTTATATTTTGTTGTTTATTCAGCAACAGTCTCGTGACCTCGCTGACAACGACTGCACATGGTGTGTGGTTTCTTTTACAAACAAGCCCCTAGTTTTAGACAAGACAATTTTTAAATACAATACGGTCTGTTATCCACCCAGGCCCATTTGTAAAAACATGACCCAAATTATTTTTCTGTTTGATCCAAAAGATTGTTAAGAAAATATTTTGGGATACCAACAAATAATAAAATATTTTAGATTTTATACTAAAAATATATTTCCGCTTATACATGATTAAACCCAAAAGTCTATAGCTTTCCCCCCAAGTCAAACAAAACATTCTCCTCCTCTCCGCCATGGCAACATTCGCCATCAGCGGACACCATATCACGGCGCCGGCAGTTTTCAACACCGCTTCTTATCTCCCCAGTCTCCGTAAATACTCTTCCCCTTCTTCCTCTCACGAACTCAGCTTAAACGCACCTTCCCCTCGCTTCCCATCTCTTAAATGCTGCTGGAGCTCACCTAATCGGAAGAAGGAGACATCGTCTAACAATAATCTTCTTAAATCATTGGGTAAATCTCTCGTAATCGCCTCCGTTTCGTCCGCCGTGTTCCTAATTTTCCCTCGATTCTCGTCGATGTTTAGCGGCGGAGGAGGAGGCGATGGGAACTTCGGTGGTTGTGGTGGAGGCGGAGGTGGTGGGGATGGTGATTTTTGGAGGGATTTGTTTTCTCTGGCTGTTCCAGAGGCCGTCGCGGACGAGGAACAGTCACCGGATTGGGATTCTCACGGATTACAAGCGGAGGATCGAGAAGGCAAGGCCGTGTTTGTTGCCCGGGACGGTTCAGAGAGAGATGATGCTTATGCTCAGGGACGAAAGGAGAGTAGGCGCGAGGCTTCTGCGGAAGATTGGGGATCGTGTTAATAGATGGTACCAAGAAAATGGGTATGCGTTTGCTCAGGTTATGAATTTTGGGAGCTTGAACAGTAAAGAAGTTGTCTTTGAAGTTGTGGAAGGAGACATTACGAAGCTTGTTATCCAGTTTCATGATAAGCTTGGCAATGTGGTTGAAGGTAACACACAGGTTCCAATCGTGCACAGGGAGATTCCCAAACAGGTAATGCCTTTTGTGACTTGTGATTATGGAGAATAATGATCATGGCTTGAAAGTCAAGAACTTGTGTTTGTTTTGGTTGACAGCTCCGTCCAGGCCATGTGCTCAACATGAAAGCTGCAAGCCAAGCTGTGAAGAACATTCACTCTTTAGGCTTGTTCTCCAACATCGAGATCTATCCACGTCTGGATGAGAAAAACGAAGGAGGTGTTATTGTAGAGATCAAGCTCACGGAAGCAGATCAGAAATCAGCAGAAGTCAGTACAGAGTGGAGTATTGTTCCTGGGCGCGGAGGATATCCTTCATTGGTAAGCACTGTATATAGGTTCATTGTCTTTTAAACATGGCAATTTATAAGCTTTTAATGATTTCCACTGAGTTTTGCTATGTCCATTGGTAATCTCGCATTGTATAGGCTTCGTTCCAGCCAGGCGGGTCTGTTGCTTTCGAACATCGAAACATCTGTGGTCTTAACCGGTCTCTCATGGGTTCAGTAACCACTAGCAACCTCTTGAGTCCTGAGGTACATTCGGTTTCTACACACTTCTGATACCTATCTGGTTCAGTTTGTAGTTTGATGGGATCCATATTTACACTCGTTTTTTTCTCAGGATGATCTTTCGTTTAAGTTCGACTATGTACACCCATATCTGGACGGTGTTTACAATCCTAGAAACCGTATCTTCAAAATGAGCTTCTTCAATAACAGCAAACTTAGCCCAGTATTCACTGGAGGACCTAGCTGTGAGGAAGCAGTGCCTCCAATTTCGGTGGATCGAGTTGGTTTAAAAGCTAATATTACTGAGGTAAGCAAGTCTCCATGCTCAAACTTGTTTTCTTCTCCTACAAGAACCTTAATAATCCCGGAATTTTTGTTTTCTTGCAGAACTTCACCCGTCAGAGTAAATTCACATATGGACTTGTGTTGGAAGAGATAACAACTCGAGATGAAAACAGTCAAATCTCTGCAAATGGGCTTAGGATATTGCCTAGTGGAGGCATCAGTGTTGATGGACCTCCAACAACTCTAAGTGGTACAGGTATCGATCGCGTAGCCTTTCTACAAGCCAACATAACCAGAGACAACACCAAGTTTGTGAATGGAGCTATTGTTGGAGAGAGGACTATCTTTCAGGTTTTGTATAAATCCCTCTTTTGTGTTGGTGTTCTAAGTCAGAGCATTTTCTTATGCAAATGCAAATGCGCAGGTGGATCAAGGATTGGGTATAGGAAGCAAATTCCCGCTCTTCAACCGCCACCAACTAACTTTGACAAGATTCATTCAGCTGAAGCATGTAGAGGAAGGATCCGGTAGACCACAACCACCAGTTCTAGTCCTCCATGGCCATTACGGTGGCTGCGTAGGCGATCTTCCAAGCTATGATGCTTTTGTTCTCGGCGGGCCTTACTCTGTTCGAGGCTACACCATGGGAGAGCTTGGTGCAGCTAGAAACATTCTCGAGGTTAAGCAATATTAACAGACTCAATACATAATCATGTTTGTCTTTCTCTAAATTCTGATGGTGTTTTTTTGCTGTTACAATTTGTATAGCTTGGTGCTGAGGTTAGAATACCTGTGAAGAACACACAGGTGTATGCATTTGCTGAGCATGGAAACGATTTGGGAAGCTCAAAGGATGTGAAAGGGAACCCGACCGCGGTTTACAGGAGAGTGGGACATGGTTCATCTTACGGTTTGGGTGTGAAACTCGGTCAGGTACGAGCAGAATACGCTGTAGATCACAATGGTGGAACCGGTGCTCTGTTTCTCCGATTCGGAGAGAGGTATTAAAGTAAAACTGAAAACGTAAACTAATGTATAAAACCTAATCTTAGCCTTGTGCAGATTTTGGCTCCTTTTGTTTATGTCATTTAGATAATTGGTAATGTAATTAACTTGATTGCGGATGACATTTATATAAATATGCAAGGAAACGAGTATTTCGTAACTGTTACCGATATATATATATTCTGAGATTTGATCAAAATCGAATTTACGGCTGCAATGGTTTACGATTGATTTGTCTGAATCGAATCAGATCATGTATACAAAGAAGACTAATCTCGACAAACTTCTACTAGACTTCGTTAAACTAACGAGTTTGAGACAAGCAAAGCTACCTAAATCATATGGACCGACTCCAAGATCGCTGCAATGTTGCTTCCACGAGACCTTTGAAAGAAACAGAGGAAAGGCATGAGCTTCTGCACCAAACCCTGAAACAGATGAGCCCTAGTCATCCCGATCTGCGTGACTCTCAGTGCCTTGGCCACCACGAAATTCCCATACTCACTCCTCGCCAGCCTCATCAACTTGCCTCCATCGCACTCCAAAAGCTCCATCACCACCACGGCCACTGACTCATTCGCATCCAAAAGCTTCTCCACTATGTAGCTTCCATACTTCTTGAACGAAAGATCAACACAGTGGCCACATAGATTAACTGCGATGTTACGCGTGCAACGCAAGTCATTCAGCTTAAGCACGTGTTGGACCACAAAGTTCCCCGTTGCATCGTTGCTTAGCAACAGAGCGTTGTGCGCGACCGTGTCTAGCAGCTGGCTCCTGTAGAAAGGATGGTTCAAGTCGGTTATGATCTTGTTGAGCGTAATGCAGCCGTATCGGTCACGTGCCAAGTGAAGCGCGTGGTGGAGCGTGTACTCGTACATTGCTTCTTTCCTCTCCTCGTCGAAGACTCCTAAACCCCGTATCGCCACGTAGGACGCTTGCCTGTCGGTCATGACGTGGAGGAAGCGGGTCAAGATAGCGGCGGCGAAGAAGGAGTCCACGTCATTTGATTTCCCGAGGAGTTTCTGTAGGCGTTTGGAGCCGTTCTTGTTTCTTGCGATCTCCAAGAAGTAGTCGGAGTCTGACGTCAGCAACGACGCGATCCCCTGAAGCTCTCTTTTCTCTAACCTTGAGATCATCTCTTTAAACGGGGACGCGTCATCGTCTTCTTCGCTGTTAGTCATTAAGTTGAACATCCGTTGCAAACGAATCTCGAGTTCTTGAGGAGTTAAGGCGGCGCAGAATCCCCAGGGGCATCCGCATGTATTGGCTTCTCTTAATTGGTTAGACTGCGGAGGAGGGATGGCGATCGGGGTGCCACGTGGAGGCGGAGCAACCGCCTGATTCCTGGGTTCTGTTGCGGCGGCAAGTCGGAGATCTTGTAAAGAATCGAGCATTGTTGACACTGAAAAGCGATCGGCGTTTGCCATTGTAAGTGATATTACGTTATTCTACAGAGAGAGAGAGAGATTTTGGAGAATGGGGGAAAGTATTGAGATTTGTGGAGTAATGATGCGTATTTATAGTTTTTTTTTGTTTTCCTAACACGAGTCAGGTTAATATTTCCTCGGAAAAGGAATTTTATATGCCGACGTTGCTGAATTTTCCTTTTTTTCTATTAAACTAGATACAGAGTTTTCTTATTCCGTTTGGTTTTTCTTTTTTGTAACCGTATATTCAGATTAATTAAGCCGTACGGATAATTTATTTAAAGAAAACTTAATTAATCTAAAATTATATTGTTCCAACACATGGACCCGTGTTCTACCAAACACACTACCAATTCCGAAGAACTCAAACGCATATGACAAAATTGATTAAAAATATTGAGTACATAATTGGTAACTATTAACAATAACTGTAACTACAGTCATTATAATTGTGGAACCTCACAAAGTTGAGAAGTAACACTGCCGATATATTCTCCAAACCCAATTCTCACAAAGAAAATCACATTAAAACCGGGGAAAAAGAGGTTACTTCTTTTCCAAGTATCCGTTTGGTGCAATTTCAACGACTTTAGGCGCATGCAAAACTCTGTTTTCTTCATTAAAAAAAATACTTTACAGATTGAAACGCTAAAAGGCCATAGTTCTCTATTGCTTTAAGAAATAATTGTGTATTTTTATTTGATGAATGAAAGTTTAATGCACACAATTGGATAACTACATATTAATTAATAATCCCACAGCTATTCAAACTATAACTGTTAATAACTACAGAATCTATAGAAATTTTCAATGCTCAGATCCCTAAAGTTTAGAGCCTTTCTTGGGGGCGGAGAGTAGCATACTGATCAAGCAAGTCCGGATCTATCCATGAAGTATTGTAATTCAGAACGTCTTGATCATCTTCTTCCACATGCAAACCCGATCCATAACCCACAAAGTCTTGGAGCCAATCTGTTTTGGCTTCTTCTTCTGATCCAAGACGAACAAGAGGAGCATTCATGTGAAGTTGATTATCCTTTTCCGATCCCAAATTCTCGCATCTTTCTAGAGGACTCTCCTCCCCGTTTGTCTCTTTCACTGCTTCATCAGTAAGAGGAGAAGTTTTGAGCACTTGATCACTCTTTTCTGATCCTACGCGCGGAATCTCAGGATCATGACGATGAGCTTCACTGATCAGCTCGGAGGAATGAACTCGAACAACCGTCTTTTTTTCTTGAATCTTGCATATATTGATCGGCTGCTTCTGCGAGGAAAAAGACGCAAGATGATGATGATAAGTTGTAGCTTCGTCTTCGTCGTCATCCAATTCTATTGGTAGAGAGTTATCGCCAAGACGAGGTGGAGGAGCACTAGTTTGAGGAAGAGCGCAGACTGGTGGTCGTTGTTGATCATCTTCTTCTGGTATTTGTTGGACATCGTCGTTGACAATAGCTTCCATCTCTTTGGTTGTGAATTTGTCCATCAGATCTGCAATCCAATCTTCCAACTCCGTGTCTTCAGCTTGTGCATCCTTCTCTGCTGATCTTTCTGGAAACATCTCGATCTTTGAGTCTGCATCTTTTTGATGAACCATGTTTCCGTCTCCACTATGATCTATGTATCTCGTCGTTTCCAGGTGCGGAATCTCGGGTCCATTACCACCGCATGATAATGTCTGCTGCTGCTCTAGAGAAGACTCGTGATCAGTATTGATCGGCTGCTGCTCCGAGGAACAAGACTCAAGATGATGAGGATGGCAACAAGTTGATGCTTCATGATGATCGTCCTTCTTCTTGGACTTATTGATCTCGTGGATCTTGCACAGGACCAGTTCTTGAAACTGATCTCCTCCCGGAAGCATATACTCTGTCATAATCCAGCTGTTGTTGCTGCGTGGGACAATAGCACATGAACAAGTACCGTCTCCTCTCTTCTGCCTCTTCTTGTTTTCGTTGCTTTTAGTGAAAGTTAGGGTTTGCTTTACCCCAATGACCTTCCTTGTTTTATAGTCGATGATATTTTCTTTCGCGTTCGCCTTCCAACACCCGCGATCGTTGTCATCGTTGATCTTCCGCTTCGCCTTCTTACCACAACCGTTGTTCTTGGCAGAGACTTGAGTCCTTGTGACGAAGTAGTACCACTCGTCCTTCTTGAAAAAAGGATCCTCGGTGTGGTGCAGCAACCATGGCTCCTTGGCGTAAACGTCCATGTCCAATATGAAGGTTTCTTCGAGCGTACCTTTCAACTTGGGAATTAGATAGCTGTTGATGAGTTCGTCGTCGTAGGGATCAAAGTAAATCATATCTCCATATTCGTCCGCCATCTTCTCTTGCTTCTTAGTGTTTATGAGGGTTATGGAAAGAAAAACTTTCTTGAGAAAAGTACTCGGAGGGTTTGTGAATAATGTATAACACAACACAAAGCAATCATTATTTATAGATAGTTCTTCTATCCTGAACCGATATGTATTTGGTTTTAGAATTCATTTGTAAAAGGATTAGGAAAATTTATTCATCATTCACTTTGAAGAAATCTCAAAGGAAAAGAAAGGAAATTTACAATGTATCTTGTGAGTATTGACCAATTTAATCATTCGTATATTTTTAGTTAGAATTACTTTAGATTTTTTTTATAACAAAAATCAGGTTATTATTCTCCTGAAATGAATATAATTATATAAATCTAACAACATCGCTGCAGCTTCCTTTTAACCCATATTGTGTTATTTGATTTTTTACCCAACAAAAAGCAAAAATATGATTCGTATATTTTATTATTTAGTTTTTTAAAACAAAAGTCAGGTAATTATCCTGAAAAGAATATATTACATCGCCACAGTTTCCTTTTTACTCCTATTTTTATTATCATAGAAGTTTATTTTTCAAATTAATGATTTGATGAAATAATAGTACTGTACTTCTATAAGAACTCACAACACGTCTAGAACAAAAAAAACTTTTATAGGTCGAAAGAAGCATCAAAATTCATATCCATAACGCCGCAAAACAATAACCATACCACAATATATTGAAAAAAGAAAAAGACAGTTCCTCATAAAACCCAACTTATTTCTCATGGAACCAAAACCACCACTCTGTAATGTAATAATATATATAGAAGCACCATATAACCCAAAAGCTGACAACTCGTAAAATCAAAAACGCGTCTGCGTTTCGCCTTTGCGTTTGCGTTTTTTATTTTCTTAGTTTTTGGGGACGTTAAGCCTTAGCCGGAAATCTTCTTCCATGAGAGGAAGTCCTTCTCTGAGCTTCACCTTTGGCTCCCAACCCAAAACTTCTTTGGCCTTGCTAATATCTGGTTTCCTCTGTCTTGGATCGTCCGGTGTGTTCTCCACCATCTTTATCTCTATGCTCGGGTTAATAAGCTGCGTTTTAACATATATATACATTAACAACCAAAACACAAGATTTCTCCTTCGAGCAAAAAAAACCGAATCTAACCTCCTTAACCGTCTCAGCTAGTTCCACCATTGTGAATTCACCTGAGAAACAGAGCAATTCAGACACAAGACTAAAATGATGAGATTGTGTCATTGTATATATATGGTTTTAAGGTAAATGTTGGAATGTAAAAAAGCGGACCTGGGTTACCGATGTTGATAGGTCCAGTATCACCACCTTCCATAAGACGGATAAGTCCATCAACCATGTCGGAGACATAACAGAAGCTTCGTGTCTGTGTCCCCGGTTTCTGAACTGTCAATGCCTCACCTCGTAGTGCCTGAGCAATGAAGTTGCTCACCACACGCCCGTCATCGATGTTCATTCGAGGACCATACGTGTTAAAGATCCTAGCAATTCGGATTTCTACAAAACAGCGAAAGGGACACAATGAGGATCTTAGCCGTGTTGCGTCGAGTTTTGTGGGAAAACTAAAAACTGACCAATGCCGTGTTGCCTGTGGTAGTCAAACATCAATGTCTCAGCTACACGCTTGCCTTCGTCATAGCAACTTCGAACACCTTTTTTTTTTATAAATAGCAACCAGGTTCCGTGTTAAACAAATGCAAGAGAGATTTCATTATATAAGATGAAGATGAACACATGAAACTTACCAATAGGGTTGACGTTTCCCCAGTAGCTCTCGGGTTGAGGGTGGATCAGAGGATCTCCATACACTTCTGAGGTTGAGGTGAGCAAAATTCTGTTTTTAGAGAAGAACAAATGTTGGTTTCAAAGACGGAACATCTAGAACAAGGATGTGATTAAGAAGAAATCATCCCGAACCTTGCTCCAACACGCTTGGCAAGACCGAGCATGTTCAGAGTACCAATCACATTGGTCTTGATTGTCTGCAAGAAAACAGGTAAGACATTATAAAAAAAAACTAGTGCTTCTGAATCTGATGATGTTAAGGTGATATAAGAACATGCACAAACCTTGACAGGGTTGTACTTGTAGAAGATGGGAGATGCGGGACAAGCAAGATGGTAAATCCGATCAACTTCGATCAACAAAGGCTCCGTTACATCTATTTAAATGCCAAAAACCCAATAAATATGAAGACTATATATACATATTTCATTCTTTATCCAACAAAATGAGAGTCTTGATCATCTCATTACCGTGACGAATAAGCTCAAATCTCGGGTGACCGATCCACTTCTTGAGGTTTTCTTTGGATCCAGTGAAATAGTTATCAGCAACAATCACCTGGAGAATCAAATGAGCATTACAAATTGACTACATGGAGCAACAATCTGCATCTCAATATCGATATACATACCTCATTCTTCTCGTTTTCCATCAGCTTATCAACCAAGTGAGAGCCGATGAACCCAGCTCCTCCAGAAATCAAGATCCTCATATTTGACTACACAAAACAAACAAAAGAAAGTAAGCACCTTTAAAACTCAAGTAAACGAACATTAGAACACTTCAATCACAGCCAACCAGATTGTGATTAAGATCAGATCTCTAAGTGGCATGAAAAGGATTCGATTTCAATGGAAGAGGAGGGATCTATAGACTAAAGACTAGCACAATGCCAAAGAGATCAAGTAATCACGTAAGATCCTCGTGACACAACTGATTCATTCACCAAATTATTCAATGCATTGGACCAAAAAAGGATTCACACCATCATCATGAGAAGGGCCACGATCGCATCTTAATCTCAAATGGGTATCAACAAAATCGAATCGAGCTTCACGTGAAATCATTCAAATAGAATCTTTACCTGAAAAAACTTAGAATTTCGCAGAGGAGAAGGCGAAGGTGGAGGCTTTGTGCTGTTCTGTTTCTCACTTGTCGCCGCCATTGCTGAGATCTCAATCCTGGGTTTGTAGAAAACGCATCAAAAAAATTGAAATTTGCAAAATATGAGAGATTGGGAATTTGGATCAAGGAGATGAAGAAGATAACTACCAGAAAAGCTTCGGGTTTGAAAGAGAGCTCTAAAACAAATCTTCTGATCTGATGAGAAGAAGAAGATGCCGAGAGATCGTCTACTTATATAGTCCCTGGTGTCTGAACTTCATCTACCAAATATCGAAACTCAAGTTTTTTTCCTTTCTCAAATTAATTAAATTCCGAATATATATCTCCATAGTTTATAATTTTGTTAGAATGATTAAATAATTTTAAATACTAAGGTTTAGAAAGAAAGAGAGACTTCAGAAACACGAAATGCGGAATTTACAATTAACGTCAACTAATCACGACAACCTTTGACCTAACAGGAATCTGACGTGGTTGCATTACAAATAATAGGAAACATTTATTTTTGTTACTTTTGCAGCTTTAATTTTCCAATTTCAGTCTTTAACAGTTACTTCTTTCTACAGAGGATTGCAAGAGATAATTACATGACACAATTAGATAAAGATAATAATGGAGTAAACGCAATTCTATTTGAAACAGTCGACATCTATATAATGATTTGATAAATTGTAATATTATCGTTAATAGAAACATTAAGAACCTTCAACAAACCCATTGTTCAATTGAGTAAGACTTACTTTTCGTTAACACCAACCAAACTTATGACTTACGTTTTATCAATACAAAAATCAACACAAAGCATGTGATTTCAATTTTACAACCCACGGTCGGTTAATTATTAACTACATCGGCTATTGACTGAAACCTCTTGATTAAATTCTCTTATAAATCCGCAGAAAAACAATTATTTCGTAGCTTTAGTTCTATATATAGAATGTCCCATTTTTTTGCCCAAAGAAATTCGGCTTGAACAGTTAAACCCATTCAAATGACAATGAAGTGGACATCACGCAGTTTTCATACTTCAAACCGGAACTGCACGCCGGGGATTGCGTGGACAAACCGGCACGGCGTGTGATGACAACTGCTTTGCAAGAAGCCACACACAAAAAATTCGTCTCAAGCTAATAAAACGACACATAGTTCAACCTTCGGATACAAGTTGCGTACAAACCAAGCATCACACCTCTTCTTAAATATGTTTGGAAGGTTCAGACAGCAAGCAAACTACAGCATTTTATGTAACAAGTACTATCAGGTTGTGTGGTCACCTGCGAACGTCTGAAGTTTCAACATATAGACGTGGACTTTTGATGCCCCAGATGCGGGGCGCAAGAAGAAACGATAAATCACTTCCTTTTTGTTTGCCCTCTTGCTTTTCAAGTGTAGGCCTTTACAGAATTTTCACCTAGTCTGAGTTACTTCCCGAATACATCTCTATACCAAAATATTGATTTCCTTTTTTGGAGAGTAAAGAAAGGGTACCCCCGAACCTAAAATAGACATTTATCCTTGGATTCTGTGGTACATCTGGAAAACTCAGAATGAAAAAGTTTTTAATGATAAGACTGTGTTTCCGTCGGAGACTCTTCAACTAACCCGCCTTGAGGCGGAAAGTTGGAAAGCAGCGAAGCAAAAGAAGAAAAAAGAAAAAGAAGATGATGAAGAGGAAGATGAGATCCCCTCCTCGCTAGACATCCTGAGCACCAACCCCTTACCCCTCCCAGACGAGATGGGACGACATACGTTTGGCATGAAGGGCTGCTAGAGATGCCTATCACCCCTTCATGCAGAGTTCGAAAGGCTCTTCTGGGCAGTGACTTGTCTAAGAAAGCGGAGATACATTTATGTTAGGATAGAGACGGACTGTTTGGATCTGATCAGGATAGTGGAAGAACCAACTGATTGGCCAGCCTTCACCTTGGAGTTAGAGAGTACTTGGAGTTTATGCAGATAGGTTTTGTGTTATTTAGTCTATGTTTGATTCTACGTGTTCAAAATGTTCGTGTTGATGCTTTTGCCAAAGAGGTACGAAGACCGGATTTTAATTTCTCTCATGTAAATCATAATGAACTGGCCTGACTGACTCGTAGAAATCACCACTAAATCACCACCAAACCAGTATACTTTGATTTAGTTTATGGAGTTTGTTGAAAAAAAGTTCAACCTTCGGACAAAAATATCATTTAAGCATTCCTGATACAGAAGTTCTGAGCATATAACCATTCTCAACAAATGAAATTTTTTGATAACAAGTTTTCTCAAGAACAACACATTGCTCAACCAAACACTTTCCAGAACGCTCTGGTTCTCGAATGCGACCAAAAAAGATGTAAACCGGGGGTTATAACAAGTTGCGTTTGGACATGTTTGAAGGGCTTTAGATAGGGAATATGAAGAACTTTGATGAAACTCCAGAAGATCTCAGAGGTATGAACTTTGAAGTTGTTCACAACATTTCTTGAGACTTTCTGACACAGCGGCTCACTTTCTTCTTGAACTCGTCTCTCTTCTCTCGCCACTCTTTCTACGCAAGAGAAAACAAAAAAAAAAGATCATGAGCAAGATCTTGGTCATAATTTGATGAGAAGCTAATCAATTGAAATACTCACAGCAGCTTCAACATTTGCTGGAGACTCATCGTTGGGACCAGAAAGCATAGATATAATACTTAACATAATACTTTCAACCTGAAACAGCACAAATTGAGAATAAATATCACTTAGAGAGCTATCTAGAGAGTGTGAAGTATGTAAACTCTAATCGTAGAATCTACCACTCGGCAGCGAAACACTGAGATATAACGCAGACAAAGATAAGCAATCTCAAATCATTATAACATACTGTATGAACAGGTGTCCAGCGCTCGCTTGCAAGCTCATAGCCGCTTGGATCATCACCGGGAGGATGAAGAATAGATATGCAAACACGGCCATCAGAATAAACTGCAGGAGACAAGCGACAAAGATGAAAATGTTGTCCTTTGAATCCTTTTTTTTCAATCAAACCGACAAGAGACAAAACCAACCATTAGGATGCCACATATCTGAAGTAAACCTCACTGTTGGTGGGCTATTGGGATAGTTTTGCGGGAACGTCATAATGGCGTTAAAGAATCCTCCTTCACTGCAAAATATACAAACTTTTTAAAACCATATTCTTTGGCAACTAAGAGCACTGAGACAAGGACAGAACAATTTCATTCTCTTCTAACAAAGGGGAATCCAAAGAGAATTTGATTACAAACATCATGAGATGTCATTGTTTGAACAACAAGAACAAATCCAAATATGAACACTTTTTTTCCACAAACAGTCATGTGATCTACAATGTTCAATTCCACGATTATGCGGTCTACAATGTTCAATCTTTGGCAATACAAAACGAGAAATCAAACCGAAAAAAATCACTGTTCCAGAGTAATCAAATTAAGCAAAAGCTAAAATGTGTATGAAATCATGCGAACAAAGTTGAGAGCGTACTAGAGAGTATCTGGAGGACCGATAATGGTAACGCTCCATTCGAATATATTCTTCTCATCAACGAGACCAGCAGAGAATCCATCGACAGGATGCTTACAGAGATCTGAAACAAGAGACGAAAAAAAAATCGAATTAATAATTTTTTTTAAAAAGGTAATCGGAGAATCGTAAGAAGATTGATTGGGTTTATTTTTCGCCTGCCTTTGAGCTGTTTCTGAAGGAGAAGGCTAGCTTGCGAAGCCATGGCTGATGATAGAGATTTGAGCTGGGAAACTCAAGAGATTTGAGAGAGAGAGAGAGAGATTTTATATCGATAGAAGAAGGTTCTGAGGATTTTCGGGAATCGATGTTTTCATCATGAGAACACAATACAGTACATATGGAAGGAGCTCGGATCAGCTACGCAACATTCCATTCTACACTTTACCATTTTAACCAATAGGACTTCTCTTCTCGAGCCTCCGTTAAGTTTATAAATCCTGGTTAAACCGGTTATGATTTGGTCTGATAGATTTTCGGTTCGGCTTCGTTTGGAAGAAAGACAGCCAAACCAATGCAAGCACAAATCAAAATCCAGATACTGTACCTATACTTATCTAAAAGTACTACGTATAAAACAAAGATATATAAAAAAAATTCAACTGTTTTGTCCATCTCACACACTCCAACAGTTTTATTTTCAACTTATTTGTTTGGGTATTGCGATAGTTTATAAATAACGTTTTGGTTACTGAATCCATTCTACGAAACTATAACATGAACAAATTAAACTATAAGAAGACGAACATATGTTTATATATATAAATATATATGTTTATATTGCACTATCTAAATTTGAATTGCTTTAAGGTTTACAGTTTTTTAACATACGCAATCTAGATATTATTTTAATAAATTTTGATCCCTTTCGATAATTATTGAGGCCAAATCAAGTTGCCATCATGAATGATCCGGACTTTCTGTATAAGGGTCCATGACTAAAGACACGTTAATCATTTTCAATACTGTCGTGACCATTAAATTACAAAACATCATTATAAAAAATATCATTAGGACTCCTCGCGTCGACATATATAGTGCTATTCAGTCACAAGACATATTGATACAACATTCTTACATATATCAGCCACAAAAATAAAAATAAAAATATCATCATATTAAACCAAGTGGTTGAAAACCAAGAACTGTTAATTCGTTGATCCAGGTCGAAAGTTCTGAAAAGATGTTTAAGAAATGGTTTCGTAATTCGAGCAACACTTGCAAACATGATAATATCCCGGAACCGGCAAGCTTTTCCGTTTTGGATATGTCAATCATACTTGTATTAAAATTAATTAGCAAGGCTTATGTGTGATTAATTCTAAACAATCACGAGACCGACAAGCTTTGCAGGTGAAAAACAAAAGGCATAAGAGACAAATATAAACGAGGCGATAAAGGGGAAAGAAATATCAAGAAAAGAGGGTACATTTATATGATAGATTCCTATATATATCGTGGTGGTTTTTTTCACTTTGTTTTTTCAGATATCGTGGTGGTTATAATGATGAGATCTAAATGATGACCTAGAGAAGAAAAGAAAAAAACAGAAATGGAATTGAAGGCCGCATGCAATATTTGGCTGACGTATGTTTTAGTGACTGTGAACGTTCTCGAGTTAGTAGCTAGACCAAGTTTGCTATCCATGACATAAAATTTAAACCAGGTTTAATTGCTCGGTTCGGTTTGGTTTTTGTTGGTCCACATGGTGATATGACATGAGACTCAATCAGTCGTAATTGTCAAACAATTCGATGGATAATTGGTCTACTCAACCCATAAGTAATATCTATCCAGTTGGAAACATACATGAACCGAATATCGAGTTGTCATGTAAGCAGTAAGCCAAAAGAAGGAAGCATACAAGCTGGTCTGAATAGAACAGAACAAATAAGATTTTTTTTTTCTACAGACATTCTAATACCTAAGTGGAAATGTAATTGCATAGGATTCCAAGAAATGACATTTACCAAGAGAATCTTACCTAGTTTCTTCAAGCTAGGTAATCATTACGGTTCTCCAAGGCGAGTACCAACTAGATGTAACAAAATTGTTGTATCGTGCTTGTTACACAATATATATATCTATATATATATATATATTTGATGATCCTATATGAAAACAATAAGCTTTCTTTACCCAAAAAAAAATGACACGACACGCTATCATCATCAAGCTACTCCTTCTCATCTGCCTCTTTCTCGGAAGAATCATGACTCGGGAATGCCAAGAAGGTAATCTCATCTCTCGTTCTTGTTCTCTGCGTGCAGCGTGCGTGATTAGTTTTGCATGATAGAGAATGTACTCTTACATACTAATCTCTGTCTTTTGCCTGTTTCAGTCCATTTCAAGATTGGACTTGCGAAGATCAACACAAAACCGAACTACGAGAAAGTGATGCCAACTTGGGTCGAAGAGAAAAGGTGGCATAAGCACCCATCCGGTCCTAACCCATCAGGAAACCGTCACACACCGGTCAAACCCTGAGTCTATAACAGCACAATTGTTGCAACAAAAGGAATCTTATAAAGTCGATGCCTGATATATCTTAGTATTATTCATAGGATATAATAAGGACTGAAGCAGCCTATAATTAAGAGGAAGAGTACTTAAAGTTACAGATCCAATGTGTGTGTGAACTGTGAAACATATGTACTCCGATAAACTAGATTATGAAAATAAATATCATAGAAGAGAGTGGATGAAGATAAAAAATATATGGTGTCTTATTGTGCGGTTATTATAGTATGTTCTACGCAACGAAAACATCTTCTCCACTTTCTTCTTTCTAAATTAATGAAAAAAACCAAATACAATAACAAGTTGAGATTGAAGAGATAAAAGACTACATTACTATGATTTTATGTCAATTGTGGCATCAATCAAATTTGATATGTTTCTTGCTCCTCAACGCTCAATAGTGCCCTTGTAATTATCTTCAACATACTCTTGCCACTACAAGAACATGTATAAGCTTACGTTTGAGTCAATTTCTTCATTTTTGAATATGTCAACCTTCTACTAATTTTAAGAAAATACAGAACTAATTCACCTAAAAGACTAAAACAATGCAAAGATGACCATAATAATAATTAAATTATACCCAAAAAAAAGACTCTAAATGAAGCTTAAGATCAACGTATGAATGATATCCTTCACCGTTCATTTTAATGCAATATGTAACTAAGGGGCATAATTAATTATCAGTCATCAGCTATGGTACTATATGTAAATTGATCTATTTATCAGTTATGTATTCTATGTAAAGACATTTCTTTATCGTTTCCTTAATGTTTGTAATATATATATATATATATATATATATATATTTAATGCAGGGTCTTTATTGTTCATAGATTCTCTTAATGTTAACAGTTCAAAGGTGGGAGATGGTAGTTGCTACGGTAGTCAATCACTTGTCAACTATTGGCCGTATTATGTTAACTAATTTTTATTACCGTCCAAATAATGCAATTGGTAACTGAGGGACATGTTCATACTGCAATACGTCAAACATCACAATTGTTAATATTTTTGTTCATATTCGGTTAAGAAGTATAAATTCAGATAATTTTAGTCCTCACAGTTAATTTTGTTCTTTGATTCAAAATTTAAAATATATGTTTCGTAAAATCCTGTATAATTAAATGTCAGTTAGAAATTGAAAAAAACTGAATTTGGTTTGGTTTTTGGTACCAATCTCAGACCAAATAGTTTTTGGTTTTTTTGTACCAAACTCAAGTTTATAATTTTGACCGCAGAGCTAAGATCGAATCGTACGTATCCATAACTGCTGCTATTAATATAGAACGAAGGCTTTGGGGAGAGATATAATGAGAAGATGATTAATAGTGCAATATATATATCATATCTTAAACAGATTTAAGATACAACACAAGATAGAAAAGATTACAAAGCGAGAAGACAAGAGCATGGAGATATCAGCTACGATATATAGCCGTCTTTTATTATCTTATACTAAACCATACACTTCACGCAAAATAATGGCATAAACTCCCATTTTACTTGACGCTGCAACAATACAAACGATCAAGAGTATACGTTAGCAGGAAACAAATATAACCAAAAGTCTCTAGATCGAGTAAATAGCCAAGTAAAGAAAAGCAAAAAAAAAGAGAGAATGTGAACAAAAATCTTACGTGTCGCAGTTGGTGTTCATGGAGATGGGGTAGGGAATGCTAACACCGCACTTTCCAGGAAGGCCAGAGGCTAGGCTTGGGTTGATGCTCTTTGCAGCGGCCTTTAGGCATTTGCATGCTGCTTGACGGTCCGGTGTGGTTTGAGCCATACCATTCAATTTTTTGACCGCCGCACAGCACGGAGGCGGCACAGCCCCGCCTTTTGTCAGGTAGGTGGCACATGGAACCAAGCTACCTGTCACTGTGCCACATGTGATTGCTGCATCTACTGATGCAACAACGAACACCGTCAAAACAAGGCATGTGAAGAACCTAAGAGCGAAAGCCATTGTGTTTTGATTTTTCTTAGAAAATAGGGAGATTTAATTGACTTCTGTTTTCTAAGCTTGTATTTTGCTGTTTGATGTGATAAAAGTGTGAGGTCGTGATGGGTTTATATAGGGATTTTAGGTGGAAAAATATGATGACTAGGCAGGGTTTGTTAGTAGTTGGATTTGCTTTTTATTCAAATCTACCTTTGAATAAATTTAAATACCCCATTGTCTACAGTGTCAGTATGTTAAAATGTACATGAAAGTGAAAACATCAATAAATCCATTGCGATAAGGTAATTAACTTTTATATATAAAATCTTATAGCTATCATGATTTAGACTAAAACATGTAATACATTGTTTTGTTTGTGTTTCCTCGTTGTTCACAAAAGAAAACAAAATTATTGATCATGTTTTGATCTAGAGGTTTATAGAATTGTTATACAATAATAATATCGTCTAGCAGTGTCACAAAATAATATAAAAAGTAGAAAAGTAATGGTATACATAATTAATTATTAATTCTCAACTATTTTTCTATATATATATAATTCACGTACATTTCAGACCTATGAAAGGGTTTAAAATAATTCCTTGAGGATGTACAGTCTATGGATAAACCCTTTCTCCAAATATTTAAATGGGTTGAAAGCAAGAATTCACATCCGTGTGGTCAAATAGGAATTGTTTAGTAATTTCACGCTTGAGAGAAATCGATATTTGGTCTAGATCAACATGACAATTCCTCCTCAAATGGAAATTACTAAACTATCACCACTTGGTTATCTCTCATATCTCAGCTATTTTTACTATGTATTTAAATTATATAATTCATACCGTCCAATTGAATGCAATGTGTAACTAGGGCGTAGGGATATTTGCGTATCCTACACCAGATTAACTTATTTATCAGCTAAGTACGTACGTAAATTGATTTAATCAGTTATGTGCACTACGTAAATTAATACTATATGTTTAAAAAACAATATTTGAATACTTTAAGATAACATGTTTTGATGTAAACCAAAGTCTTCACTGTAATCGTCAACAGTTAAAAGGTCGGAGATGGTTGTTACTTGTTGACAATCGAATCACTTGAATAGCCGTACTATGTGGTTTAAATTCGATTACCGTCCAATTAATGCAATGTGTAGCAGAGAGACACGTGTATCCAAACATCAAACATCACAACTCTCCCAACCAGCTTTTATATTATTAATATGGATTTGCTGCATGAATGGAAAATTAGATTGATGTATAAAACTCTTCCAGGTTACGGAAGAAACCTTTTTTATGCAACGTAGGGTAATGGTAGCCTTGGTAGGCGGTAGTTATAATGGCAAAACAAAAAGGTGGTCCAATGGAATTGGAGAATGTGATGGGGGCCTAGTTGGGAGAATTCTGCTGTTTGGTATTAGATACACGTGTCTCTCAGTTACACATTGCATTAAATTGGACGGTAATCAATTTTACATTCGCTTTTTTATTACGATAGCTGACAAATTATATTGGTTGGTTATGTATGAAACCAAAATAGATAAAATTTACAAATCTGACAAATTTTATCCCATTTTGTTTTTATTATTTTGCTAAAGAATTTTATTTACTATAAATCTTGCAATATCGCTCAAACATTTCAAAACAACCAAATTGTTAAAAGACTAATAATTTTTTTAAAGACTAATAACATTAGATATAGTGTATATGTATAATTTACAACATAAATGTGCATACTAAATTGGGATACTGTTGTATAAAGAAACAAATTCTCTTTGAAACATTTTAATTATCAAGTGTTAGATATAATACTTTTTTTATCCCAAATAAAAAGAAACAAATTCTTCTCGTTAATTAGTAGAAGAAACTAGAACTCTAAAGTAAATGCAAATGCAACTACTAACAAACTCTACTTAGTCATCATTCTCCCCATCTGAAACCCCTATATAAACTCATCATCGCCTCATACTTTTCTCACACCAAACAGCAAAACACAAGCTTATAAACAAAAGTCATCATCTAAATCTCCTTATATTCTTATCACCAAAAAAGAATCAAAACACAATGGCTTTCGCTCTTAGGTTCTTCACATGCCTTGTTTTGACGGTGTTCGTTGTTGCATCAGTAGATGCAGCAATCACATGTGGCACAGTGGCAAGTAGCTTGGTTCCATGTGCCACCTACCTGTCAAAAGGCGGGGCTGTGCCGCCTCCGTGCTGTGCGGCGGTCAAAAAATTGAATGGTATGGCTCAAACCACACCGGACCGTCAAGCAGCATGCAAATGCCTAAAGGCCGCTGCAAAGAGCATCAACCCAAGCCTAGCCTCTGGCCTTCCTGGAAAGTGCGGTGTTAGCATCCCCTACCCCATCTCCATGAACACCAACTGCGACACGTAAGATTTTTTAGTGTGTGCAAAGTTTAGATAATCTTTTGTTTTCTTTTTTAATAACGTAACTTATTTGTCTTGATTGTTTGTATCGTTGCAGCGTCAAGTGAAGTGGGAACTTAATTATATCAGCATCAGCATGTTTATGGAGGGTATGGTTTAGTCTATAAGTAAAATAAAAAAACGTCTCTGTACGCTCCTTTGCCCTTGTCTTATGGCTTTGTGATCTTTTACTTTCATGATCTGTTGTATTTTAGTATGTTGAAGATATGATTATGTTACCTCGATCCTAGTTTATTACATATTTTCTCCAGTGCCTTCGTACGCAATAATCATATCGTGAAAAGTTAAAAACCCAATAATGACGGAGGATTAATATATGGAGTATTATGTTATTTGATATTATTTTGGAGTGAAAATATAAATTGAAATAATAAGTTGAAATGGTGAAAACTATACTAGTTTAACGAATAACGATCACCAATATAAATAATTAACAACAAGTAACAATATAGAATTGAATATAAATATAAATTATATGATCACCATCAAGGCATCAAGATCTACAGTGCTAATTACCTAACAAAAGGTGGGGTGATTTCTCTGTCGTGCTGCACAAGCTTGAAAAGTTTGAACAGTGCGATTAGAACCACACTTGACCGCCAACAAGCATGTCCATGCATACAGCATGCAGCATACAGACGATTGCAAAGAGCTTTGATGGCTTCTAAGTTATAACAAAGCTTTGCCTTTAGTCTTCCTGGAAAGTGTGGTGTTATCATTCCTTATCCCATCGCTTTTGAGCACCATTTGCAACAGGTTAGAAACTTCGTTTTTTTCTTCGGCAACAAGCATAATTTAGCCCTGTTCTTCTGCTCTTCGCTGCGTCTGCGTCTGGAACAGAATAAAACGACGATTACTGTAGCAATTAACAAACTAAACGACTTCGTCGGAGGCGCTGATGGAGAGAAAAGTAACCGCAGCAGTGGTCGCGTCAACTTAAAACTACCGCCTGAAAAATTTAGCATTTCACAAACAATACCTGCGGGCATCTTTAACGACAGCAGCGTTCATTTTCAGCGGTAATTTTTCTCTCCGTTGCCGCAGTCCCTTGCTTTTTTTTGCCGCAGTCACTTGCCGCAGCGATTAACAAACTAACAGGGCTAACTGATATATATACAGTTTTGAATCTGGAGGGTAACACATATCATAATTAGAGACTACGATTTGATTTTATGATGTTGTAGCTATGAATTTTATAGCCTTATGTCGTTCTTCATTGTTGAGCATATCCAAACTCATAGTCTTGACGAATTTGTTTTGTTGCAGCATCAAGTGAAATTAGAGCTTATAGCCTTCTATGTACCAGTTGTACGCTTGTCTCACCATGCCCTTTTCCTGTGCTTTTGTAATATTTTTCTTCTTCTTCTGTTGTATTTTAATATAATAAAGATATGGTAATTATAAGTCTTACATTACAAAACAGAAGTCGTATCATGTAATTAAAGTCTACATTACGTTTCACCAAAACCCATTAGAACAAGTTTGTAATGTAAGACTTATACTTGGAATTTAAACACTTTTTTTAGATAAATCTCATGATTTTTGGTGAATCAGTTGTTATGATTGTTAATTAAACAAAAATTACAATAAACCATAAAAATTAAATTTTGTTACTTTTAACTAATAAATTTCTCTAAAACATCTCGACTTGATTGTAAATCAATGCTTAAATTAAATTATTTATAACAATAGTGTATTTAATATTACTTGTTCAAATCAATAGTTTTAACATTTTAATCTAAGTAATGCTTAAAAAATATTATAGATAATAACAGTAGTTTAAAAATAAATTAAAAAGAATCCATGATTTATAAACATAAAAGTTTTTTACAAATCATTTCAAGTGCTTGATTGAATACATTTCCTTTGGTGAATTTAAACCTGTGTAAGTAATTCTCTCCATTTGATTTTTCCATTTTTTTATTCAAAATTTAAATTCTACTGTTATAAATGTACTTTGTTATTTTTATTCTGAAACTAAAATCAAAGTTTTCACTTCTCAGATTCGATCGAATTAATTTTTCATCTCGTTTTCCTCCATATTCATTTTCAAAGAAAAAGAAAAAATAAAAGCAACTAAGGATAAAATAACAAAAGAAAATGTTTATTTTCCAGCCCCTTTGTTACAACCCATTTCCACTACTATCGAACCTACCAGAACTACCAGAGAAGAAATCAATAAACGGCTGCTCTCGTCCGCCGCCATCACCGAAAAAAGACACCGGAGAATCATGACCAGGGGTAAAACTGGAATTTCCAACACGCTCGTCATTAGTGGCATCCAATGGCTGAAGTGGAAAAAGTGGAAGCGTCTCCCGTCCATGGGAATTGACGTTAATGTCCTCGCCGTAATAGCCGTGATCACGAAGGGCAAATCGGTCAAATCTGAGTGAGCTCGAAGACACTCGAGTTGGTGCTGTTGTTGTTGGTATGTCTGAAAGTTGTTTCTTATGATCTTTGATCGTGCGTTTCTCGTAGCCACCACTTGGAATCATCACATTGTTACTGCGAAGATCTTGTCTGTACACGGTTCCTCCATGTTGATTATGATGATCACCTACTTGATGTAGATAGTACGGACTAACACAACCCACTTCATAACAACAAACAAAACAAAAGTAGAAAGACCATTTAGTATTTTTAGCGGGAAAAAAAAATACAATTAGTAACGTCTAAAACGTAAGAATACAAGAAAATAGAAGAATCTGCTAGTCCACAGCCATATCATACTTGCATATATATGGACATTTTTTGTATATTTTAGAATTTCTGGTGATAAATGTATTGACTATTTCACGCAATTTATTAGCTGGAAAATAATATCACACAGCTTACTCCAATCTAAGATACGGAAAAATTAAAACGTAATCACCAAGAAACCGAATATATATGATTATGTTCTAGATTTTAGCGAAAAAAACATATATACAAAAAGTAACAGTTACAGATAGTATTTTAGCGAAGAAAAAACAATTACAATTAGTAACGTCTAAAACGGTATATTCAAGAAATTGGAAGAAAGCTGTTAGTCCTCAGCCATAATTTACTAGTAGACACACCAAAGTATTGCTATGATAATACTTGCATATCTACGGACATGTTTTGTATTTTTTTTTTAATTTCTGGTGATATATATTTCTGGTGATATATGTGTTGAATAATTCACACGATTTATTAGCTGAAATAATATCACACAGCTTACTCCAATCTCAGTTACGGAAAAAAATAAACGTAATCAGCAAGAAACCGAATATATATGATTATGTCTCTATTTTTTTCTAGTAAAAAATAACATCATGTGATGAAGAGAGGAAGGAGAACTACGTGCCGTTTGAGCAAGGAGGAGGGTGGAAGAAACGGGAGGTTTTGTGGAGGAGACGATTGAAGTAAGCGATGCGTTCCTGTTTCTGCTTTTGGCGTTGTCTAGCCTTATGGTTCTGGAACCAGTAAAAGACGTTTTTACCCTCAATATGGCCGTACGCACGGAGCCTACCGGTGATGTGCTGTATCTGATCGGCGCTAGGTGTTCGTATCCCTTGCTTGTAAAGATTCTCAAGTAGCGTTATCTGATCTTTCGTTGGATTCCACCTTGAACTGCTTGCCGTTCCTGCGTTTCCTTCGTTTTCCATTTATCTGTTTTGATAAAAAGTTTGTGAGAAATTTAGGGTTTTTAGGAGATTTTTGGCATATGTGAGGGTTTGATTGATGCATGAAATTCATGGGGAGGCTCTAATATTTATATAGGGCTTAGTGAGGGAGTGGAACAGAGTCAAATGAAATGAAGAGAGAGAGAGTGACATGCGTGTCGTTTTTTGTGCTGGAGACTCTGAAAACATAGCGTGGAGCGGCTGATATGTTAAAAAAGAGGCTACTTTTTATGTGAAGACAAATAGAAAAAAAAAACCATTTGGATCATTCTGGTTCTTTTTTTTTGTTGTAAAATCAATCATTAGTTAAAAAATTTTACAAGCATAGCATTGTTAATTAATTTATTATAAACTGCGGCTAATAGAATAAGATAATACAGCACTTGTCAACGTCAAAGTCTATAACTACATCTTAAATTTGTTTCCCACGTGAAATTTAATAAGATATGGTATTATGTGATTTCATTAACTTTTTTCTTATTCCTTTCTGGGGATTACGGATGTTTTTTTTGAAAGTGTTTAAATAGAGGAGAGCCATAAAAAGTCTTGGAAATGAAAGAGACAGTAAGGATAAATACGAACGTTAATATAATAGGGCGGCAAAAGATAGCTGGTTGGATTGTGTTCTTTGTAGGTCATGAGAAGCCTATACATCTAGTTTGCTTCGGAAATTGGCATATTTTATATTTTATATTTTATATTTATATAACACGACAATTTGAAGTTGAGTTGCTTGGCTCTTCGATTTCTTAACGATCAATTTGAAAAGAAAAAAAAAAGTTCGAGCAAAGAAACAAATTCTTAATCGTATTTAGTAAACCGTCAAAATAGAAAACTCTAGTGGCTTATGTTTTGCCTTCTTCAAGTGATGTCGATCTTATTTTGCTTACTATTATCAGAAGGTGAAGACGAAATGGCGTTCAGATATGGCCCTGCATTTTCTCTTCATTTTTATAAGTTTATCTTCAAAATTAATGTTCTAAAGTATATACCACGTACATTAGTTGAGTGGCAAAATGCGTAAATGCACGCGGACGTTTATTAAGAGTTACAGGTGGATATTTTGTATATATTTTTTTTGTCGGCTCATATAATAACCTTTTAAGAGATTGATACATAACAGAAAAATTATATTAATAGCAATAAAAAATAATATTTATAATGTACCATAAACAAAGTTTTAATAATACTAATAAAATGAAAAATGGGCTCAAATAAGTTTTTCTAGTAGAGAACAAATTGATGGATGACTCAGACAAATGAAAAACGATCCTCCGTATAGTTTATCCATATAACATTAAACAATACGCCTTAATCCTTATAATAATAGTACATATATAATCATATTTTAGAACACTACTTAAAAATAGAATACGATTGATACTATTGTGAAATGAAAATGAAAATTTTACACACAAAAAAAACATTATGATATGACAAAATAGCGGGAAACAAATAAACAAAATGAAATTATAAAATGATTAAGCGAGAATATATGATGATAACAAATCTGCAGAATCACAAATAGTAATTATGTCATCTCTTATTTAAAAGCAGCATTAGCGAAACAGACATTATTTTTTGAACATCTCGGGTGGTTAATCGATTAGATTTATTCTCATATGTTTTTTTTTTTTTTTGGTAATATTTATTCTCATATGTTTTGCACCAAAATCATGGCTATATCTAGAAAATAATATAATTACATCTTTCATAACTTAGCTTCAAACCTGAAATCTAGACTAGTCAATCAAGATCCAGAATTAAACTTTCCATAGTTCTGACTAATAGAACAGAATTATGCCATTTTAGTAGGAGTATCATTTAGTAGTAGTTAAAAATGTATTGTGTGATACGCCACGAACTTTTGATATATAGAAATGTGTATATATAGATTGTAAGATTTTGAGAGAAGATGGCATGGGGAATGACAAATTGTGAAACCAAAAGACATGCATGGCTTCAATTTGAGTCTTTTAGGCACCTACGAATCTATAGGAGCAGAGATCTGCCTCGAGAAAGAGTGAGAGAGTGAGAGAAAGAGAGAGACATATGACACTCCCCAATCTCTTCATTAACTTCCATGTTTCAATAAAATTTGAGCCATTTGATTCGCCTAATCACCATGGCAAATTAGTTTACTTTTAAATCCAATGGTTTAAATTGAAACAATGATTTAATATACTAGCAATAAAAAAAATTGACAGTACTCCGATTGATAACACATTTTTTATATCGCAGAATTACGGAATGGTGAAAAAAATAAATTGCAGAATAATTTATTGCGGAATTACAGAACTTTTTATTAAATACGATTGGATAAATTATGGTGGAATTGTGAAATTGCAGAATATACTTATTAAAAATATTCTGTTTTTTACTATATATTATAAAAAAATATATTAATAATTCAATCAATTATTATTAAATGATATAATTATAATTGTAACTTTTTAATAATTTGTTTTTCATAAAAAAATATTGCAAACCTTAAATAATAGATATAACTTTATCATTAAATAATTTTTTGTAACACTAAATTATTTATTTGTATTTATTTAAATAATAAAATATAATTGAATAATATAAACATTGATTCCGTAAATAATCTACTCCAAACACGTTTTTCCGCTTAATGAAGATTTCTTTGTATTTTCTGTAAGCAAAAAAAGCAATTTCAAAGATCTTGCGTTTTTGCGTATTTCCGCAGATTTTTTTGATTGGCAAAATTCTTGCGTTTTTGGGTTTTTTCACTATTCCACTATTCCACAAGTGTTACCAATCAGAGCCATAACACGAAAGAATACAAATTACATAATTTAATTTCAATTATATTTGCCCTTTTTAACAAATACTTCATAATAAGCATTGTATATATTTTAAATATAATTTTTAAAATAAAATTCTCACCTTTTTCTCTACTATTTTAGGTTATTAATTAATAAGATTAAACTTTCCTCCAAAATGAGATAAAACTATTTAAAAAGTACTATTTGAATAAAAACATAACTTTCCATAATTGGTAACTGTTTTTGAGTAGTTAGAGTATTTTCAATCATATTCTAGATCTGTTTTAAATTTTATTTTAGAATAAAATGTATTTTAACTCTATTCTTAATTTTTGATTCTAAAATAAAATGGTGATTTTTTTTCAAATTTGAAACCATCTCATATTAGATTGTATTTTAGAATTAAACTTTTTATTTATAAACTAGTACTTTAAATATTAAATAATTTTATTTTCAGATTTATAAATCATTTTATTGATAATTTATATTATTAATAAATAATAACCATAAATAATAACCATAAATAAATAATTTATATTATTGATAATATAAATTAATAATTTATATTATTTAATTTTAATTAATTTAATATTAAAAATATATTACACTACATAATAATGATAAAACAAATTAGATTTTTAATTATGGTTTATGTAGTTATATTTTATGTTAAATATATTTTATTTACATAATTCTAAAGATTTAAGTGTATAAATATTTATGGTTATAAATCATTTTATTGATAATTTATATTATTAATAAATAATAACCATAAATATTTATACACTTAAATCTTTAGAATTATGTAAATAAAATATATTTAACATAAAATATAACTACATAAACCATAATTAAAAATCTAATTTGTTTTATCATTATTATGTAGTGTAATATATTTTTAATATTAAATTAATTAAAATTAAATAATAGTCTAATTTATGAAAGTTTTGAAAATAAATTATTTGATTAATTTGTAAATTTTGAAGAAATTATAGAACAATTAATAATAAAACATAAAAAGAACTAGAATAAAAAATAACATCAAAGATTGTAGAGAATTGCAATTCTATTTTACAATTATTCTATTTTGAATAAAAAAATAGACAATTTCTAATGTATTTCTTCATTACTCTAAAACAGAATAATTTTAAAATGGAGTTGAGTTTTGTTCTAATGTATATCTCTATTTTTTACTTTAAAAAGAATATTCTAAATAGATTTTCTTTCTATTTTATTATTAATATATTTTATTTCTAAATTTACCAATAAATTTATTTATTTTGTTGTTTACTAAACTTTTGTAGATATTTTCTAAAGTTTATTTTATTTTGTAAATTTTTTTAATAATAGTTATAGTGTATAAATATTTATAATTATCTGTTATATAATGTTATAAATATTAATAGTATAAAATAAAATTATTTAATATTTAAAAGATCAGTTTGTAAATAATAAAAAATTCCAAAATGGAGTAGACTATAAGTTCACTTTAAATATGGAGCAAAATTTAGTTTTACTCTATTTTAGAGTAGAAAATGAAATAGAATTAGAAAATTTTTTACTCCAAAATAGTATTTAAAGTAGAAAATAAAGTATGACTGAAATCGCTATTAGTACATTAAAAAATAATACTAAGAGCGATTCTAATCAT